TGTTGAGTGTTGAGTGTTGAGTGTTGAGTGTTGAGTGTTGAGTGTTGATTGTTGAGTGTGGGTTACCCCGCACAAGGCTGACTACCCCACACGAGGCTGAGTATCTATGAACTCTTCTACGGCGAGTTGCGGGCGCTATTACTACTTAGACTCTTCCGTGTCAGAATTCATGTCATAATTGTTGTGTCGGCTCCAAGACGTTTAAACATTGGAAGTCGTCGGCCCCAGGCAATTTTCAGTCTTACAACTCGTCTAGACTATCCGAGAGCACAGCAGGCCCTTCGAGCTCGCCGGGGTCGTCGACGCACTCGCGATGCTGCACAAATATGCTTGTGGTGGACGAGATAGGTTTCCTCGCGAAGACCGTGTATGCGGGGAACGAGTCGAGCACGTCGCCACAGACGATGAAGAAATGGACAACAGCCCAAACTCGTCGTCGCCGTACTCTTTTCTCTCTATTCCTTCTCTTTCCTCGGATTGAATCATCAGGAGCTGATCGAGATGACGGAGTACAAGAGAAGTATCTCGTGCCATCTTTGAAAATGATTGCTGGGATAGTTGAGACTGCGGCGACAGCATATTTAGCTTTCGGGGCCACTCTGATTCGTGGTGTACTTGAGCCGGGTGTCGAGCCTTTGGAAGAGGTTTTGTCCTTTCCTGCGTCTTGCTTTCTGCGGAGTGTCCACTCAAAGAGGACAACAATGTGACTTCTAACTCGAAGACACTTGGGTTTAGCTCCAAATGTCTTTGCACAGATCGGCTCGAGGATGGAGGTGAAAGACAGGAAGTAGCCGTGTGGTTTGGCGGGAGTGGTGGCAAAATAGGCGACTCCCATCCAGGCACTTTGCTGAGCATTGACGATCTTACATGACAGCCACTTGAAGATGACGATGGAGATGCCGAGGACGGCGTCCTATTATTACTCTATGAGCAAAATGACGGGGTTGGGGGAACTTGGAAGACGACTACACTGAGATACGGTTTTGGGAAAGGAATTCTCCATGCCCCTGGCGTAGCTCTCTCTCTCTCTCTCTCTCTCTCTCTGTCTGTCTGTCTGTCTCTTTAAGACTAACTACAAGATAACTCTATTTAGATAATTAGAATAGTTCCTTGTAAAGGATGTAGGTCGTCAGGTCTCCGAACTCGCTACGAGCGACTACTCAACGGGTCAGACAATAAGGGATACAAAGCGCCTCGCTGACGGGCGACCTCTAATTTGCCCAATGTCGTGTTCTTTCCCCCCTCCTTCGAATTCTGGAAAAACACGCACACACGCGCAAAAAGTATAACATCGCCACTTGAATTTGATGATGATTAGTCAAAAGGCTGAAGGATACGGTCAATGCTCGCCACGATTGACCGTCTTGCCTGTGATGCAACTCCAATTGTTAACCCCTCTTTTTGACTCGGTCACGAGGGATTTCTTTTACCCACTCAAATCCGAACAGCAACCTGGCAGATGTCGCGTCGTACCTTTGCCCAGACCGGCATTTCTCCATCTCGGTGATAAAAGGGTGTTGGTCAGTTAACCAAGCTGAACAGTTCTCGACTTCGAGGATAAAATCAAGGGGGGGTGGTTGAGGCGGTGTGATCGAAAATGAGTTACCTCGGCCTTGCGCCTGATTGTTTGCTTAATTCGTTGGATGTAGGGAGCCCCAAGCCCGACCCACCTGCACTACCAGCGCATACAGCCTGTAGTCCTCAAGAGGTGGGACAACCAATGCATCTCCGCCGTCAGCGACAAAGAAAAACTACACTTTACAAAGAGTCGTGCGTTACAGGTCGAGCTAGTATACATCGGTAAGGATCTCGGATAATTACACGATGTACTTAGTCTTTGACAAAGTAAAGGAGGTAAAAAGGAAACCAGTGTGAGACGCGTGGAGAAGACCAGAAACGACCTCTTCTCACAACTGGTCACCGGACAAACATGCAGTGGAGCATGAGAGGGGCTTTGCGGGAGCAATCTACTAATCGGAGGGGGAAGTAAGGGAGCAAGAAATGTCAAAATCAAAATCAAGGAAGAAAAAGCGGTGTACATAGCCGATGGTGCATGGCCGGACTCTCGGGAAAGCCTTTTTTTTTTTTTTTGGACGCCCGAGTTGTGAGGCTGTAAACGGGACTGTCGTGCGTGTCAAGCCCGTCCGCGAGTTGGATCCAAGCCTCTCTCGGGCTTCAAATGGGGATTGGAAGTGCATGAAGCTGCAACACCCGAAGTAGCAGGACATGTGTGCTGTGTGCGGGGTCGAGGGTGCATTCGCCCACTTTAGTATACTATTAATTCCTAGAACGGGTGGAGATCGTTTTCTACACCCCGAAACCCGACCCATGTCAAGGTCTAGACATTGCATCACCGAGACCGTGTTCCACCAGCTCGCTGCCTGTTTCGCGTGGTCGCGATAGGTGGCCCGGGGCCCCAGGAGAGTCCCGACGGACCCGCAAGTCAAAAAGGCTGACCGCCCTCCCAAAAATAAGTACCGCAACCCCCCTATCCACACGTAAGATTCTCACCATCATACACACTCTCTCTTGGGTTCTCCCCGAGCCTTACGAGCTCAATTGGACTTCGTTGAGGGTAGTACGTCTGCCATCCTTTCCACCATGGCGTTCACCCATCCAGAGTTTCCCCTGCGATCAGCTCAAGATCCTTACGATGCAGACGCGGATTACTCGCCCTCGCGCTGTACCAAGCGGTCTGGTCCTGGGCAGACTCGTACCAGGCTGACCCAAGTCAAAGGACGAGCTAAAGAGAGTGATGGAGGGCTTGCAAGGACGTTGAGGCAACTGACACTAGGCCATGTGTCTGTCACGTCCAACTGGAGGCGCCCGAGGTCGTCCCTGAAATACGCCCAAGAGAACGAGAATTGCACCCTGGTCAGCCACCGCGCAACACGCAGAAAGATACAAACCCGCCTTGCTAGACGCAACTGCTGTAAGTAGTCCCACGCTAGATGCGCCTTTCCGACGAAGAACTGAATTAGCTTGAATGGAGACTAAAGAGTACACGCAGGGAAAAAACCCACGAAAAACCGCCGCCAGCTGCGAAAGCGAGCAGATGCCAATGAGAAGCCTACCGAGGACTCTCCCGACACTCCAGGAGGTTCTTCCGACTCTGACAGGACCCCTAACCTTGATGGACGTCCTTGGAGTCCCGGGAACCCCGATACCTATGCACACTTCTGGCCTGACGGCAACAACGGTTTCATGGAAGAGCAGGATGACAAAGAGCAGTTTTCGCCCTACGATCAGGGCTCGGTGAAGCTTCCTTCCTTGCCTACGCTTCCACAGCCAGGTCTCGACAGTCATCTGCACACAAGATATCACGACAGGAGGTCTAGTCGATGCGAACAGCCTCAACAGGCAATGAATTGATTGAATTGCAGTACGAAGGACCATCTGAAAGGGTTGAGGTTCTGTTGTGTGAACAATGTCTCAAATGGGACATGATCAACGTGCCAAGAGATCAGGTCCGTTACATACAGGCTCAGGAGAGTTCGTCCTTGCAGTGAAGGTTGGGAATCGGGGGGCTGCTGATGGTTTCGTTTGGTTACGTAAAACTCGGCGTCGCCACCTGCATCACCTCCGTCTCCATGTTGAACATGCGTTGAAGTAAAGATTCCGGTCGCTGAAATCCTCCTCTTGCTTGACTATTGAGAACAAGATTTTCGTCTTCTTGGTGGGCGTTCCCGTAGTCGGTGCACATCGATATACACGAGTCCTGCTGCTGCTCCGAGCAAATGCAACAGGTTGCTTGAGACCGTAGCTGATCATGTTCAAGTGTGAAGGGGCGTCGCCGGAGAGGGTTGGAAGCTGTGAGGACCGGTGTTGATGGCGTTGGTCGCTGGCATGGACACACAAGAATACTATACATTTAAGGACTTCAGAGAGCACCACGGCAGTTGAGCTCAGGGATCTCGTATCAAGGACCTAGTACGAGATCATATCTCCCACCATCGTCACGCACAAGACTCGAGACTCAAGACACTAAATTGGTAATGTACAGAGACTGGAATTTGCACAGCCAACCTCTAGGAATGACAAGCCCCTATACCTTTGACCCTCATTGGTTTCACTGAGACAGAGAATTCCAAACCGGCTGCCACGTGTCGCTAGTGTGCATACTGACCTTCACTACTCTTCACGGGCACTCTGCACTGTCGCTTAGGTTGCCCTTGATGCCACGCTCGCTCTTGTCCTCCGTTACTATTACTCTCTTGCTGCTCATTTTGTTTACCTTCGCTGCCCATTGGGACATATTGGCAGTTCAGGGACATTCGGAGCATACTGAAACTAATCAGTGTCCCCTAGCCATGGTCGCAACCAAGTACTGACAAAAATGGATTTTATTGCGTGACTACTACACTCGAGAATTTGTATCGCTGGCTAACAATGCGATATGGCACAAGAGCACAACACCACCAAGTCTGAGCGCGGGGTATGCATTCTCTCGAAACACTCTTGCACCACGACAACCGTCCCGGTCATTATTTTTTCGAGGCCGAGGGCGAGCATCATCAACATCCCCCGCGGCCGGGAAGATCAACAAAATCCAACTAACCGAGGCTCAGATCAGACTCGACGAAAGAATCATCATTGATACTCACGCACCCACAATGCTTTGCACTTGTTAGGCAGTCGCCGTGCGGTGCAGACCTGTGGAGTGAGGGAGTGAAATCACATCTTTCACTCAGTAAGCTGATCTCCTCGATTTCGATGCCCACTTCAAGCGGATTCTGCAGTAGGACTGGAAGCGTAGCTAGCTCCCCGGCTACCAGTACGGGAGCAGCTGCAACGGATTTGTCTTTCGCGAAAGGATTGTACAAACATGAATGGATCTCGCACCGTTTCGACAAGGTCACTCCCACCATTTTGCATTTACACGAGCGGACTGTGAATCGTCGATACCACTTCCCCCTGCTTGTCATACAACATGCTGTACCCACGCCCTGAACAGCCAAGATTGCTTACTATCAAATCAAAAAAAAAAAAAAAAAAGAAAAAAAACTGGGAACGGAGATATACGCCGAGCCGGACCCCGATGGACTGCTCAGTTGCATCAGGGCGCCACAAAGCGAAAAGAATTGTTCTTAAGCTTATCAGAAAGCTGCCTGGGAACCGACATGACACGGTCGACGAGAAGCTCACTGAGGCTATTGAGCTTCGTGAAGAGTGTGCAAAGTGGAACACAGACAAGCCATTTTTACAATAATACATTGGATGTACATCAGTTTCTTTAAGTACACGAAGATGCGGAAGATACGGATGAGCCAGTAGAGGGACTAGCAAGACGCGGGCTAGTTCCCGCGAAGGAGCATGATCCGGCAGTTGAGGAGATCAAGGAGGCCAACATCGCGGATGAAGAAGTTTTCGAGGGATTGGTTCGCCATTTAACCAGGATCTCTTGAGGTAGTGCCTGCAACGTAGGACGAACTGCCCGTGAATCGTGCAACAACGTGATCTTCCTTCTCACGCCATTGCTGAGCTCGATGCCCAGCATATATAAATGGGTTCTCGCTTAATAAGTGGCCAGTATACTCGAGAGACTTGACAGTAAGGATAAAGCCTTTAGTTCCACTGCCTCGTTTACCAACTGACTTCCAAGACACACGGCAGGACCATCCACAGCCAGTAACCCGAATATGCGTGAAACCAGGCTTGCAATTAGAGACTATTTCGCCTTGATCATCTCTCTCGACCTGTTTCCTCGAGATTTCGTGTATTCCGAGTGCCCTCGCCCGCCCTCGCCGTGGTGGATATAAAGAAGGTGCTTCCTGGGAAATCGCCCTGTTCCACCTGAGCCTTTCACGATATCGAACCCCTGAAAGAGCGAATACCCTTGATTGGGCAGTCTCAACGCATCTATACAAAACAGGCAACAGTGAGGGCTGGAAAGCCGCGAAGGGCTCAGATTGCGGTCCTGAGTCAGTACCACAATGACCAAGTATTGCGACGAGTTTCTGTCCGTACGCGACGCAGCGTGCGCCACAATAGATGGAGAGCCTAGCCAGCCTGCCACAGCTGGTCACATACAAGAGCCTCTCACAAGAGGATGCAAGCAAACCACGGTTATTGGATGGCCCAGATGAAGGCGTGGGCTCAAGTCTGCGTGCAGCCGATGGGCCTGGGTCAGATTTACCTCCATGCACAGATGAGCTGGGTAGAGATGCACACGTTGCTGGCTGCTGGTAACAGCCACCCCGCTGTAAGATTTTCTATACTTGTGCGAAAAGCGGTGAATGCGGGCTCTCACTAAAGGTGCAACGACGACCGATGACAAGGAAGGTTATGGGGCCATGGCCCTGTAGATCTTGTCGAGTGTCATCTTGTACTTGGAGTTGAACACCCTCTCGGAGACCTCCTACCCCTCTCGTACTTCTGTTTTAGGTAGGAGTGTGCCGAATTAGGAAATACACGAAGGTTTTTGTAACCCGACAATAATGTTGCTGCATTTCCAAAGATGGAAAAAAAATCAGCCTGACATCTGATATGTAGCCTTCCTTAGTAATTAAGTCGGCCAGATTAGGAAATATACGGAGGTTCTTGTGACCTAACAAACAATCGTTCTGAAATTTCAAAGATGAGAAAAAGTCAGCCTGACATGTGACATACAGAGCCTTGCTTAGTTATCAAGTACGGTCGACCATCAAGCGTAGTCTTCTCATTCTAGGAGCCCTGCTGTAGGACTCACGCGTCGCGCCGTTCCTGCTGTAGAACGGGCGGCTAGCAACAGTCGAGCATTGCGACGAGGCGCTGCACCAGTGGTGCGGGCAGGGGGGTCTACACGAACATCGCCGCGATAGAAGCCGCCAACCACTCGTCGGACGGTAATTTCTGGAGGAGCTTATACGTGCCCATGGAGCTGATCGAGTGCCAGTAGGGGGACCTAGGGCTGCTCTACAACAACAGCGTTCTGTCCACCGAGACCAGCGCCGGAAACGATGAGAGTCCCGAGCTCAAGGATAGGTATCCAAACGTGTATCACCGCGGGGTTCATCGACACGGTCTTCACCCCGCAGTCGAAAGGGGCCGGGTGGGTGAGGCTGCCGACGCACGGGGTGTCGATCAGGGTCTGCATGACCAGGACTATCAAGTTGGCGCAGATGCTCATGTCCGTCGTCACACATGCGTACGGGAGCAGGCACGGGTCGTGGATCCTCAGGTGCATGGAGTTCACGTCCATGATCACCGACGACGAGTTGTACAGCATCCTGAGGCTGTAGGGGAACATGAATGAGACTAACATGCCCACCGTACACGTGTTCGAGGAGGTGTACGTGGTCACGATCTCGACCGCCAGCGGGATGTTGATCAGCCCCGTGAGGATGTTGGTGAACAACCGCAAGATTGTGGCCGAGAGCCCGTTCATGAACTTGATGTACGTCTACCGTCCGGACACGATGAGGTTCATGAGCAAGCTGTTCCTCGAACCTACGATCGAGCCCGAGGAGTTCGACTGCACCATAGCTAGGTGCATCGACTACAACATGTACACGATGGACCCCCAAGCCAACCTCGCGGTCCAGATGTTACTGCGGTCCATGAAAAAGTTCCCGATCAAGAGTGAAGCCACGATGGTGTCGCTGGGCGAGTCCGAGCCCCTCGTCAAGACCGATCATCCTGGACGCCATCATGTACACGCAGACGCCCAAGGCCAGGGTCGTGTTTCTGGGCAAGAACGTCGTGACGGCCTTCGTCAACCACTCGCTCAACCCCGAGGACGCGTTTTCGATCTCGGAGGCCCTCGCGCGTATGGGCGCATTCGCGTGGATGGGCTACATCAAGTACCCGATCCCGATGGGAGCCGTAGTCGAGCCCGGGATGGTGTTATTCGACGAGCACTGGTAGAGGCCCGCGGTCCGGGTCTGGTCGTGAAGATCTTCGTGAACAGGAACGGAGGCTAGAACGCGAAGGTATACATCTACGTCAAAGAGCTGATGATCGGCGACAAGTTGGCGACCCCGTACGGCCCCAAGTTCACGTGCAGGGAGCTGATCCCGCGCGAGGAGACGGTCGAGCTGATGGACAAGGAGACGAGCGAGAAAGTCAGGCCTAATCTACTCATCAGCATATAGAAATTCAATAAGGAGCTCGGTGAGTAAGTTCGGCATATGAGTGCGTGTACGAGCCTCTTCGAGAGCATCGCCAGCTTCAGGATCTTAAAGATTCCGGTAGGCAAGACCGTCTACACACGCACGGACGAGTTCAAGACCGAGCCCAAGCTTAGGAGCGCTTACATCATTATCGAGGGGCAGAAGCTTGACTTCGAGGACAGCGACGGGAAGATGAGGACGTTGAAGTGCAACTACGGGACCTCGCGCGCGTCTTTCAGCTCAGGCATCTGCCCGTGCTCAAGCAGCACTACCCGTCCACGGCCATCCACTCGGTCGCTGTTCGAGGGGGAGGTACAGGTCGGGCACGCCCAGGCTCGGGGAGACAGAGCTGCTCGCAGTGATGTTACAGTACATGCCCATCTACGAGACCGAGGCCGTTGTCAGCTCCAACAAGTTCGTCGTGACCGTGTACTCGATGTACAGGGCGATCCCATACTTCTACAACTGCCCCTTCCCAAAGCCGCCTACGTCCTCGGTCGCGGTCAGGTACTCGGTCACGAAGATGAAGACGTACGCCACTGTCGGGATGCTCAATGACCAGTCTAAGCCTGCCATAACGTTGAGGTACCTGACTAATATATGAGTATGGCCCTGGACATGATCGCCTCAGTGCTCGAGTCTACAGCTTGGGGTACGCGTCCCTCATGGCGATAAACATCGTTGAAATTCCCCTATGGTACAACAGGTTACCGCTCCTGTTCGGGATTGTGCTCACTTGCCTGGACATACTCGTATTGGTGTCGTACGGCATGATCTTCAAGTTCCTCATGCGCCTGGCGATGAACCTGATGTTGATGTTGACCACAGGGTCGATCACGATGTTGGAGAAGTTGCTGGTCTTCATCTCGTTCATCTCCTAGAGCCTACCCAAGCGCCAAACACCGCGATGATCTTCCTACCGACAGACGCTATGGTCTGGGCCATCTCGTACACCCATGCCCTCATGCGGAACAACATGTTCCTGATGTCATACAGTATCATGTTCATGCTAACGTCCATCGACACGGTCATGAAGGCCCTTCTGATCATGTCCGCCCTGATAGGCATCTTCTTGACCAGCCTCATCACCGCGTTCGAGATGATGACCTCGTTTTAGCTCATGTTCGTGCCCTCGTACGGCCTCAGATCCCTGACGTCGATCACGTCGTGGTCTACCCTCCTGACCTGGTTCATGAACCACTTGTCGATTTAGCGCCCCAACGGCTTCTCGGACCCAACCACGTCCTTGAACATGTACATGACCGACCTCAGGTGCATGTACGTGACCCCCTTCTGCAACTCGATCCCAGACGAGTAGAATACAGTGGCCTCGCACTTGTACTTCCTGACGATCATCTTCACGGGGATGTCGTCGATCCCGGTCGAGATGTTGAGCTTGGTCATATTGGTATTGTACTCTGACCTCGTGATCTCGCCTACAAACGCGTACTCGTACGGCCTCCTGTACGCAGATGGCGATCTTCGCTATTATCTCTCCCCGTGGACCTCATCCTCAGGTTCGCGGTGTTGGCCCGAGACCCCATTCGGCAACTAGCTGCAGCCGATATCCTATATCTCGCTCCTTAACACGTCGCCGAACATCCCCTCCCTCATGGTCATGTGCATGATCCTTTGAGATGTAGCTATTCATCCTCAGCTCTACCTCCACCATTGGTTCGTCAAGATGGTCTTGATCACCGCCGTGTTGGTGTACGGGGGTGGAATCTTACTCATCAACATGTTGTTGTTAATGCTTATGAAGCTGTACGTGGCCGCCACCTTAGTGTTAATGTTCTTCACGCTCTCGTGGACGGGCTTACACCTGCAGACAACCGGCTCCAAGGGATCGTTCAACCCTAACCTCATGTGTACGTACCTGGCTGTAGCCGTGTTCTTGTCCTCATCGTAGATTGGGTAGATGTTCGGGGAGGTATCCATCTTCGAGCTGCTGTGTTGCCCCACGGCCGCGGAGCACCGCGCCCAAGAGTAGGCCTATGGAGACGCGTAGATGGTGGTCGAGTTACTCATCAGGGCAGGGCGATGTCGAGGGTATAGATGACGATGATGAACACGGGTGTTAACTTAGCATCACCAACACTATCGACACTGACACCCTACTCCGACATGTCTGTTCCACGCTCTCGCCAGTCGCGATGACCATGATGACGACCGTGTAGAATGCCACCAACATGGTCACCATGGTCATCTCGACCATGTCGGTGATCCTGTTGATAATGGCGGAGGTGCTGTTAGTGGCCCCCAGATGGTGATGATGAAGCGACTCGAGTGGACGAGGCGACCATCAAGCGCAACATGCCCATGTACAAGAACATCAACGACAGGCTGGTCTCGCTCTCCCAGGGCAACCTCTTCTACTTCTACTTCTTGTGCGGAAGGATGTCTATAGTCACGTACATCCTCAGCTACTCGTTCCCGTTCCTGAATCAGGCGATGGTCATGGACAGATCCGCCCGCGTGGTGACGGCCCATATCGCTTACATCAAGCTACGCAGGTCCATGAATAGGGCCAGGCCCATCAACGAGCTCGTGACCGCCTTCAAGAAGATCAACATGTCTGTAGACGTGGTGAAGAACATGCGCGTGTACGACATCGCCTACTTCATCACGAAGGGGAATCTAGACATCCTGATCAACGGAGACTCGGTCGAGTACATCCACGTTAGCGAACTACATGATGTATATCTACATCATCATGAACACTGACGTCTCCGTGAAGAACATTATGTACAGGGACTAAGTTGTCATACTGTATGCGCCCGGCGCCTACTTTTGGGTCACGATCTACCACACGACGATCTCTAAAACTAAAAACACGTACATGTTCTATGTCTACGCCAACACCGCGACTGGGACTGAGGTCTGGGAACGTGGCTGGAAGAATGAAGAGAATCGTGTACATCGCCGCGTAGATGTCTGAGTTCGTCTACAACACTTAGGGCGAGTACTAAAACGCGTGCACGCCCAGGACCGTGTATAAGCTCATCACGTCGCTACCTCGCAAGCTAGAACGAGAGCGTGGCCAAGCTGTACTAGGTGGAACGCGTGCACGTACCTCACTATGGATACGACAATGTACAAAACTCAGATCGAGAACTCGAGACCGTTCACCGTCAGGCGCATGATCAAGGATGGGAACATCATCTCGGGGGTGCCGTCCGTCGCCAAGTGCGTGTGGACCACGATCAGGACGGAGAACTTGGAGGTGTACGAGGCCAAGCTCGAGGATGCGAAGATGACCAAGGGCTGTAAGGGGTACGTACATGAACAAGAGCGCGAAGACGGACACCTACTCGATCCCGTATGGCATCGTGGTGGCTAATAAGGGGATGTCCTTGGACGCCAGCATCATGAACTAGGTGGTCATCACCAGGGACAAGAGCATATCCGACATGTTCACGTTCTACTTCAACAGGATCGTAAACAAGAAGGGTATCTTGTGCAAGTAGTGTAACGGGTGCAGGCCTACCAACACGAGCAGATCGGTAGAGCCGCCCAGGAGGATGCCTAGAGGCGCGAAATTCTATGACGGGATCGTCAGGCTGCTAATCAGGATCGTGTAGAGGGCTAAGTTCATGTACGTGTCCAAGGACGGAAGTGCTACATGCGTGAGTTAAAGACTCTCGACGCCGTCATGGTCGGGAGGTGCTCGTTCCAGGACCTGACAGTGCGTTACTGACGATGATCCAGCCAGTCGCCCCTGACGTGTGCTCGACCGGGGTCCCGCTTGAGATCTACGATAAGATTAACACTAACTTTGATGACTCCGAGATCTGGATGCTCGCGCCCATCACGCTTGCCAGGATTAGAGAGGTGTACTACCACTGGTACAAGGACTAGCACGTGGACAGGGTGCCCACTGTCTTTGTCGAGGTGGACAAGTGTACGATGAGGAACAGCATGCTGGAGAAGCCTGACCCCGCGATGATGAGTATGATGACGTTCGAGGAGATGGCTAAGTACCTGGACGGGAAGATGTACGAGACCATGATGTTGAAGCCGAAGTCGTGGAAGGGCATGTATAAGGTCATGATCAACAAGAGGTACTAGAAGATAAGCGTGACTAGGTTTAAGAACACGATCACGAACACCATCATGTATAGGCACGGATTGGCGGTGCCGTATCGGGTTCATAAGGATGGACAAGATGCCGGGTACGTGCGTGAATCTATGCTAGGACATGATCGTCATAGACTCCCTAAAGGTGCCCAGCCTCCCGCTCGTGAAGTTTAAGGAGGGCACTAATAAGCCCGTGTACTCGATCGCGATGACGAAGCTAACTAAGATCATGTACTAGTAGGGGATCGACAGGTCGAAGTATGGGTCGGTCTTATCTAAGCTGCGGCGATCAACACACTCCTCTCCATGTTCGACTACTACTACGAGCTCGTAGTGTCGACTGTCAAGAGGGGTCAGCAGCGGCGGGTCAATGTCCGTTAGTACCAATGTGCACTCGATAGCGAACTTAGTCAATCCTAGGGACATGATCACGAGGGCGAAGTACGCCATCAGCATGGTTGAGGACATTGACGAGGTTTCGTTGACAAACGTAGAGAGTATGATGTTCGCCTTCTTCTTGTTGTTTCTGAGCATCAACGTGAGCGCAATCATGAACCAGAACACGATCGACTTGATGAAGGAGCTGGGGTTAGATTTGTAGTGTACCTTAGTCACATACTCGTACGTAAGGTAGAATCAAGACGTGATCAGGAACCCAGAAATGAACGAGTTCATCAACATGAGAACCGACATCAGCTCGGTCTTAGGCTCGATCCTGATTTACAATATGAGCCTATTAGTGTCGAGGCTGGACGTCCCAGACAGGAGTGGGTGCAACCGTGGTCGAGGACATCTTCTTAGTCACGTCGAGCTATACATACACGAAGTAGTTCATGTACGCGCACTAGTTCGAAAACGTGAAAACGAGTAGACTAAGTACAAGGTCTTATCCACTCCCGAGTATGTAGAGATCTCGCTCAACGCGTACCTTAACCTTAAGATAAACAACCTCAACATGAACAACCTTAATATATATAAACTCAACATGTACAAATTGAACATGTATAACCTTAATTCAACATGTAGAACCTTAACTCAACATGTTGAACCGGAACTCAACATGTGAACCGTAACACGTACAGTACCTTAGACAAAATATCCGTCTACAATATCCGTCTGCACCACAATTTCTCCATCTACTAAACTAGGATAAGGGTCTTAGCTAGATGTATCAAGTCATACAGTAGTAGGCAGAATGTTAGGGATAATGGCTATTATATAGTAATAATAATGTAGTGTAAAGAGTCTAAACTAGGTTGATTTATAACCTAATTAATCACTATCCTTAACTCTAAACTAGGGTAAGGCTCTTAGCTAGAGGCATCAACTCATACGGCGGTAGGTATAGTATTAGGGGTAACGACCATCGTATAGTAATAATAAAACATCATCGAAGATCCTAATTAGGTTGATTCCATAACTTAATTAATTACTCGTCTACCTAAATATGTAGAACTGGTCCTCTTGAAGCATCTCTAAGAAAAAGAACTCTCGGACCTAGTGTGGGAGATCTAGCTAATTAGCAGGTAGGAGTGTCACCCTATACATTATAGAGGTAAATTCCACCAATTACGTTCCAGTCTGTAGATTCTCCCATTATAGTATAACATCAGTATGTTCAACATTTACAACATCAGTAGGTTCAATATGTACAACATCAACATGTACAACCTTAACATGTAACATCAACACATATAACATCAACATATTCAACATGTATAACATTAACACTAAGTTATCCGGCTCCTGCACGAGCGTGTCAACGAAGGACATCCTGTAAAGGGAGTCCAAGTAGTAGGCATCGCGAGTAGTGGCACGGGCTTATCTATACTTTTAGAGGAATGGATGATTTATCACGCGGTCTTGAACCCTGGCAAGATAGTGGTGAGGGTAGACACCATCTTCTACCCTCGGTGTACAATGACAAAGAGGCCTAAGTCCCCGGTCAAGGAGTTAGTTTCTAGCACGTAGGAGTTCATCGCCTCGATCGTGGGTACGTTTACCATCTACAATATGAAGGGCTGCGTGCTCACAGGCTACTAGGCGAAGACCAGCTTCCAAGAACGACCTTGACAGCGACGTTGACATCTAGTACACGTGTGTGGGCATGAGGACTAATATGTACGCGCAGCTTAATAGTGATACTATATTGCGATAGGTCCCAGTGTACTACCACGTATCTAGGATGACACGACGATGATCATGTTAACGATGACTATGTTGATGTTCAGTGGTAGAGCTAGTACACAAACACGTTCGCAAACTTACATTTGCACCCGGAGATTATAGCGGAGACGTTGAGGTATGTGAACATGGCCAGTAACGAGCTCAACTACATCCACCGAGAGATGCACGAGGAGATGGACGTAGACCCGGATCTAGACGTGGAGCCGGAGCCGCATAAGAACAAGGAGATTAGTAGGTACGTAGACGCGGGCGTACCTGTGGATATGGCTGAGAGGATGTACATCTGCGGGTATGGGGAGCTAATCATGAATATGTCCGATCATGTCTTACGGCTCATAAGTATCTTTATCGCGCCATTGACGGAGTTCTAAACGATCAGGTTCATATATAGGAGCATGGAAGAGTTCGCGGGTTTGATCATACTCGGTAACATCAACGACGTCAGGTAGGTGTACTACTCGTCGAATAAGCGGATGGACTTGTACACGCCCAGGTACAGCTACTTATACCTAAACGTCAACAACGACCCGTCGTAGTTCCTGTTATCGGGCCGGGGTAGGGGGCTGTACACGATCGTGGAGTTGTACATCGCCATGAAGGAGAGGGTGAAGCTGTACGTGAACATGCTGCCGGCGAACTTAGCGCATCCCCAGTGACGAGCCGATGGAGAAGTCCGCATATCACGACATTGTCAGGACCGTACATGGTAAGGTGACATAGAGCAAGTATATTAACTTCATAAGGTTCTGGTACAATACTGTACTTATGGCTGATAGTTATAGAACTTAAAGATGGACCCGGTACAGATTAAGTAGATGGACATCTAGGTGATCATGCTTCTGAAAAAAAGATGAGCACGAACATTAGGGTAAAGTAATGCTGAAGATGTGTTAGAGCTACTTCCTATATAGCCTAATAGAGTCAGGCTTCCTTAGTCATAGTTCCTTTATTACATAAGCTAGGTCGAGAGTACGTAAGGTATAAGTAGCTAAGTGACTTTAGAATAGTATAGTGAAGTAGATGTCATAAGTTAGCTACGAGAGAGTATAACTATAAAAGGGGAATAAGCGTAGCTATATACTTATAAGGTATATCCCGAATAGATAACTAAGACTAATATATTAATATATTAATATAGACTATACTAATATATCGCTATATCGTTTCTTTCCTTTTTTAGTAGTTACGTACGGTACGTAACCTAGCCTTATATCGCTAGGCTACCGTCCGGTAGATCTACCTCCGGGCGCCCCGCGCTCTAGGTCATTTAAAGGCCGTTTCTAATAAGATGGTAGGTAGCGAACATCATTATGGAGGGGTATATCAAGGAGAACGAGCTTGATAACATGATCGAGGCGACCAGCATGAGTATAGAGAGGGACGTCTATATAGCTAGAGTCATGTACATTAATAGGGTCGTGAATGTATGCCGGACGAGGGGTTACCTTACTACTCAGGCATACTCCTAGGCAAGTACTACTTCAACACCGGGGGTGTCTACTCGCTGACGCACCTCTAAGAGCCCTATATCACGAACGACTTTAAGATCGACGATAAGTTCTGGGCTATCGTCCTCAACAGGTTGATGGTCGAGGACCTAGCCTAGATGAGGTTCATGTGCCTAGACGAGACCGAGTTCACCAACATCACCATGTTTAGGAGCGTAGAGAGTGTTAAGCCTACTACCATTAAGATGATTAGGAGGAGAAAGTTGTACAAGCATAGGCTTGACTCCAACCACGTCCTCAGGCGGCGAGAGATGCACTTGATCGTGGTGAGCAGCTAGAATACGGAATTAGATAGATTTATGGACCATGTTTAAGTTCTAGTGTGAGTGTATGCACATGTACAAGCGCATTGAGATGTACATGACCACGGTGATGGAGTGGCCTGTGGATATGAACATGCCTATCTTCGCGTACAAGTACTCGAGCGTGGTCTCGTTCGACCTCGACTACGCGGATGGCTATAGGGGGTACGACATGAACTTATCGCTAACCAGCACCCTATAGATGTACAAGTTTGTACACTTATCTCGCTTCCGGAAGGAGACTCTATATAAGCTTAGGGTCGAGAGTACGAAGTGGGACCTAAAGATAGAGCTCTACGCTGAGGTATAGACGTTTTTGTACACGATGCTTTACATGTACATGTCGGTGTAGATGGACCCCTACTAGATTGGCCTTGAGTTGGCCCTCTACATTGTCTTCCAGAACTCAATCATCGCCAACTCCATAGTGATCTCCGGTAACTCGAGTACGGAGGTGTACAAAACCCCAATCTCCCTCGGGGACTTGTAGAACTGTAGGGACCCATTGCCAGAAAGGTTCAAGCATGTGGATCCGCCCCTGTCCCAGCCTGTCTGGATCTTCAGCCTCGTGGACGAGCTGGCGATCAGCGATGACGTCACGCCCGTGACCATGTTCATGTAAGGGGAATGACTTAATTGATTCTAATCAGTCATCGAGGATCCGCATAAGTTGCACATCGCGCACAAGGGGTCCCTCGAGTTCTCCTTCATGTACTGCTTCCAGATCAACCAGCTGGCAGACCCCCCCCTCTCTCGTTCTGCACGACTGTGGTGTTGTACGTCGTGATAGTCAAGGCCTCCATCATGGTGATGTCCTTGGCGAAGTTCTCCCTCGCGGCGGTAAGGTTAACCGTCTTACCGTACACGATCATGGTCGCGATTACGGGCTCGATAGTCTACATGGTGATCCTACAGTTCGAGGTCGTCCACTTGCCCAGCACCAGGATTCGCGTCACGGTGTTAGTCACGAGCTTGTTGTACCCGAGAGCTTGTCGCACTGATTTAATGATCTCGCTCGTGAACATGTCGATGCTCGGGGACCCCCGCTGCCTGAACAACAACGAAAAGTACTCTCTCGCGACCATGGGCCTGTAGATCTTGTTGAGCGTCATCTTGTACTTGGGGACTATCTTGAACACCCTCTCCCTCCTGTCCTTCTCCTATTTCTATTTTGGGTAGGAGTATTGCCAGATTAGGAAATACATAAAGGTTTTTACGACCTAACAAACAACGTTTCTGAGTTTCAAAAATGGGAGAAAAGTCAGCCTGACATGTAGCCTTACTTAGTTGTCAAGTACATTCGACCATCAAGTGTAGTCTTCACGTACTGTTGGTTCCTGGAGGACGTCTACCTCACGGTCCCGTATGGGTGCGTGTCGTTGAACGTCCAACATGTTCTCCATCGTCTCGATCTACTTGTTACGACGTGCGACATAGTCAGGCTAAGGGCTTGTAGGCGACAGGCTCGAGAAGAGGCCTTGGTTATGATCACCTACATGAACATAGACACGGACATTTACTGGAACAAGAACCTTTTCGTAAAGCTGGAGTAGATCGTACACATCATCACGGTCGGTAGCGCGAACATGAACACGAGCGGATTGATTCGTAGGGACCCGGCCGTGCTCGTAAAGATGGTTATAATGGCCCACACATCGAGGCACTGCAAGCACACCTCGAGCAGGTACGCAGGCTCGGTCTCGTACGAGAGGACCTCGGTACAATGCCCAGCTACATCAAGGATATGAGCTTGGGCATGTCCTCGGACGCGAACAAGAACCCAAACGTGAGGTATAAAGAGGTGGCAGCGATCATCAGCAACGTCATCTCCATTTTTGATTTTAGCGAGAGGCTTACACAGTCAAGTAAGACCAAGTACATGATTGTGTTCACGGACGTGTTGTTAGCTACGCAGATGACGACGATCGTGCTCGTGTTCACAACCTTCTCCATGTACATGCACTGGGACGACTACGTGTAGATAATCATGTTAGCGAATCCGCTTATCTCCACGCTGATCAATGCGTACATCGGCTCGACTGCGAACATCAACTTCATCACGACCATGCATAAGACAACCAAGGTGTACATGATCCTACGTGAGGCCAGCTATATCAACTCGTCACTGACTTAAGGACCATCGGGAACATGTGCATGTCGATCGAGATCTGCCTACTCCCGCTCATGAACTTGAACACGTACATGGCCACGTTCGCGGACGAGATCGAAGCGAAGGACCTATACAGGTCCATGGACATTGTGGTAGAGGCCGTTCCATACTCGAACTATAGCGTGAATAGGGTGTGGATCGTGCCCAGGATCGTCAACGGGAGCCTAGAGCTAAGAGGATCAGCATCTCGATCGTGACGGAGGCGCATGAGGTGGTACAAGAACATGATCTGGCCTATGGACATCAAGGGATGCTACTACGACTGCCACATCGCGCTTATATTGTCGACCTCGATCATACACGCGATATAGGGTTTCAACCCTACCCCGTGCGAGAGTAGGATGAGTACGGGATACAAAGAGTACAGCGCCGCCCTGAACACGATATGGATCGTGGACTTGGAGGCCACGTGACGAGGTACGACATGATGGACATGTACAACGAGGTGATCAAGTCGCTGGAGGTTGTCGCCATCGTGAAGGTGAACGTTGAAACCGTCCCGAACATGCACAGGATCGTCATCGTGCTCAGCCTCTTGAAGATGACGTAGATGATCAACTCGTATGCACGCCTACCACTCACAGACAGCGAGACGCTGGGGAACCTCAATGATTTGGCTAAGATGACTGGAAGAAACAGATGGAATCCGTAGAAGGAAGTAATGCTGTGCGGACAGATGTCTTATTAGGAGCGTAAATCGCCGCCAACTGTTACCGTTTTACCAAGGACATGCGTGACCGGGTGTTGGCGAGGGAGGGAGAGGATGACAATGCCCTCCGACGCTACCTCATCTGGGAGGTGAACACGTCACTCTGTTCGAAACTCGCGTCCGCGCTCTTCAAAGCGATCCATAAAGTGCCCTTAGCGGCAAGAAAATGCGTCTCACCATCGCGAGCGGGTCATTTACCCTGGACCAAGTACCCACGGCCGATCATGACCGTCATCGACGCCGGGCTTTATACCCTATTTAAGAAGATAAGTTGTACATTAGCGTTTGGGACTTGGGCACTCTCATCCTCACTCGAAAATGCTATCCTCAAGATGGTCCTGAAACTACACGGCCATGAGTAGGGGTACGAAAGGGCTAGAATCCTAGCCCGTCTACTGACGACATGGAGAAGACGATGGATCAGATTCAGGACTACATACTCCCATCGTACTTACGTCCCATGGCCCTATTTAGGTTCCTGTATGTATACAAGTCACTTCTATGTGTATACATGTATCACGTGTCTAGTTCTCCCTATGCTACATGTCAGCCGTGACTTACAAGTTAAAGAGCCAGGAAATCTGCCGGCAGACAACACCCATGGCTACCTCACAGCTGGACATCGCAAGCCAAAGTCCCGCCCCGTACAAAGGTGAAAAAGACAGGAGGGCAGGCCCCTGGGTTATAAGGCCTCGCCCGGTTGGAGGGGCAGCAAACTCTATAAACAACCTAAATAAAGCAAATGCTCCGTTCGGCTCTTGTTGCCGCCAAGCATTTCCTAAACCTGCCGTGGATGTGAAAATCCGAGGTTGGTTGACTGAAATATATCTACTTCACCTTTACTTTTCTCGTGCGTACTGCGTACTGCGTTGGAACTGGGCACTTTTTGCACTTGCCTATCCGTCTGTTACGGCACAAACACGGACCACACACAGTAATTCTGCAGACGCTTTGAGCCTCTTCGGGCTCGGGGAGATCGCAGAGGACTTCAGCTATAATGTGGAGAGCATCATCGGAGAATATACAAGCACCAATATCAACCATCCCGCCTATAACACGCACCCGATCCTCATCACCTGGTACACCTCTTCCAGCAATATCCTCCATGGCCTGAGCCACAGCCTAGAATGACTTCGGCGTCATGACTTGTTGATCCCACTTATTGATCCCCCACTGGTCGCTAAATGCCATATGAACTTCACATCGATGGCTCACGTACCTAATATTGCAGCATGTGAGTGTTTCTTTCGATGAGATATTTATCGGCAGCATCACCGTACCCCAGACAGGGTCCCCGCGCGGTCATTCTATATACGTTCCGGCTCGAGGTAGGCTGCTTCGGTGGCGTACTTCATCTAACTACACTATTTAGATGCCTTACTACGGATTAGGACCTCTTGCTGCCGTACGTCGTGCCCGGAAGGAGGAGAACGATAAGCTGGGCTTCTTTGATCTGGGCCTCGGTGAGTTCTCATGCTTAACGTATGATAACGGACTGGGCTGACCGAGACTAACTGGCCCTTCACCCGAATAGACATACGGATCATAATATACAAGCCTTTGCTGGACCAGAGCAAACCCAACTGTGCACGGCCATCTTCGCCTTACCCAGCGTGTGAAGAAACTTTTCGCTACGACTTCCGGCCGTAGTGGATGGCCCAGTCATCATCCACGCCGCCAGACTACGCTACCTACACCAGCCGGGGCAGCCCCGTTTATGCAAGGGCGTCGCGCCGACATTTTCTTTTTCTTGTACTATATCGATGGGCCCGAACCGCGAGTGGCCCTGTTAACCACATCGAGCTGTTCCTAGACTCCGCCCCAAAGGGACAAGAAGAGAGCAGTAGAGCCACGTTTGTTCATCTTCGCGAAACGGATCAGGACTAGACGGCAACCGACCAGAAGGGATCGCACTGGTACCGGGACAGGCGTTGATTCCCCAAGCTGCTGCTCTATTGGTTTGAAGACACAAAAAGTCCACTTTGGTGCGCCAGTGGCTTGGTTGCTGCGCTGCGAATCGTTCGTATTTCCTCTCGGATGGTGCCGTAAGTAAACTTGGCACTTTGACCACCCGATGCACTGGTGCAATTGTTGTTGTGGCCAGTTCCAGGCATGACAAAGTCGACAGGGCAGTCGAGAGAATTCACCAAAGTCGCAATCTTGACGGTTTTGATCCGCAATGTTCAAAGAACGCACCAAGCAAGTCGAGGGACACAGTATTTGCGACACAAACCGGACAAGGTGGGGATTGAAACAGCACCGCTTTGGTAGAAGCATTTGTCCTGGAGAGCGAAGGAAGCAACGAAAAAGTCTAAATCAATAGTATTAGGCCGAGCTACTGGCAGTGCGGATGGGATGATTGATCGATCTCAAAAAAGGTCACAAACACCTCTAAATGAGCCAAAGTGTGGGTGCATTTGACCGCCCGTGCCGTATAGCACTGAGGACTATGGCGAATATGCCTGACGAGGCCAAACCGCAGACTTTGGCGAAAACCGTTTAATTGCAAACACTTCCAGCATGCCTGTCGCATAGTCCAACACTTGATGTACGCTGGGGCTTTACGCTTCCTTTTTCAAGAATTAAAAGACGCTATTGTCTTTGCGTTCCGCTAAAAAGAAAATGACATATAACTTTTGGTAAAGGTGTAAATTCAACACTACCGCCAGAAACTGCAGCCCGAGGCATACGCTCTCTTAACAGACATTTAGTAGTTACATGCCCTCCAATCACATCTAAGGAGGGCTTTACATTCTTCGGGGTTCCGTGAACGGAACATGACATTATTTTATCAGGGGGCAAATTATAATTACTTATCACAGCTACAAATCTCACCTATGTGATGAGAACCTCAATAGGCTCGTAATTGAGAAATTACATACAGTACGAAGGACTATCTGAAAGGTTGAGGTTCTATGTACGGAGTTGATATCTCAGATGGCACGAATACATGGTACTAGTGCCAAGGGATTAGGTTGATCCGTGACATCTAATGGCGTTAGACAATGTTTCCTGCTCGCTGCCAAACGTATCGAAATGGCAAGGCTGTCAATGGACGCTGAATCGTACAACACAACGTCTGAAGTTCAACTCCCTTGTTGCAAACAACGAGTCGAGAAGCGAAACATCGTCTCTCTATAAAATGCACTACCCTAGGCGGATGGTGGTAGCTAAACAAAAGCCCCCGACAAATTCTGTCGGGAACTTGCAATTGCGAAGTGAAAGGGCGGCCGTCTGGGATGGAAACAGTGCTCAGAAACCAAACCAGCTCTAGTAGTTCACTTTGTACTTGGTATATAGCATTCAGGCCGGCACACCTATCTGATGCTCGAGTAGTAACCCCACCGTCGCGTAGAGGTGTCAGAGCCTGTCATCGCTTTGAAGGCCTTTCCTCACCAAGGATCTATCCGTCGCAGAATTGACATCAGAGCGCCTGAGTGTGTTGGAAGAGTCTCAGCCCTCTGCTCATCGCATCATTGGAAGATTATGACACAGAGGTCGCCATTGTCGTAACAGGCAGTGTCAACGTGGTGTTCCTCAAAACACTCGTTTTCAATTGTTCATTTGTCTCTGATCTAGGCGTCAAAAGGTAAAGGTTACCACCCTCTTATCAAGCCAGCCCAACCCCCGGTGAAAGAGTAATCTTCAAGCCAAAATGAAGATTTGAACCAACTCGAGAGCTTCCATCGGCGATGTAGGAGGTCTAATCGTCGACAAACGCCAGCAAACCCTTTACCGCTCTCAATGATGGCGACGATGCCGGACAGATCTCGAGCATCAGCGCTGTCTTTCCTGTGTACCTCGTAACCGCATACAAAAATTCCACAAAGTCAAAAGATGCGTTATCTCTCCTCCATCATCCTCTTCATCATCACCCGTCGAGTGCTCTGCCTACGCAGTTGCCGCGTATCCAGGCTTCCCAGGCGTAGTACGATGCTTTGGCAAGTGTCGTGGTCCTCAACTTCGCTCTTGGATGTGCTCGATCCCCCAGGGAAACAGGAACTGCGCATCTCTTTTTCGTGAAACAGTTGCATTCACTCTCAAACCTGTGGGCTCTACTGCGCCACGCCCCTTGTTACGGAATGTGTCCCGGAAAGCGCTACGTGCGCACTGATCGGAGTGAGACACCGAACGTGAAGCGTAGGGCGATTTATGGAACCTTATTTCCCATTTTGGAGGACGGAGCGGCCCTAACTGAGAGATTTTTACTAAAGCCTGTGCAGGATCCAAGTCTATGTTCACAACAAAATCTGGGAATCAACACGGGCTAGCCTCAATGTTCGATCCCGGTCCACAGATTCTGCAGCTCCTCCCATCCCTCTTTGCATCTGCACGCTAATGCTAATCCGTCGTCGTATCTGTCAGACTTCTTCTGCTCTTAACTAGTAAAGTGGCGGTCGTCGTATTCATTGTCACTCTCGCCTTCAGCATCCGCATCGCTGTAATCGCCTCGTGGCGCGATGCCGCTCTTCTCGAGGTCGAAGCACGCTAGATTTTTGGTGGTTCCTACAAATATCTACATGTATATTAATCAAATCAAACTCTATGAGTTCGAAATCCAACTGTGGCTCCTCGGTCATGGCTGCCATCATGGCCTTGCCACGTTGCCGAGTCATTAACTTGAGAAGCTGCTTGAGAAGTGAGAACATTTAATAGCCCACGTTGCCCACTGCCATCTGTCTACCGCTCGCCACGGTGCCCATGATTTGTGGAGCCCAGAAGATCTCGCTCTATGTGCCTCATAACCCGTCTCGTCTGCGCATGTACATACACGCATATAGTACCGAGCCGCAACATTGGCAGCGTGATCGAGACGGCCGCCGGTCAGGTCTGCCACAGACTTGAAGAATACCTCGATCCGGGTTGAGAATGAGGTTAGGTTTACGCCCATGCCGGAATGCAGGAACGCCACCTTGTGCTTTGTACAGTCGTCCGTGCCGCAACCTAGGCTTGCAATACTTGGGGTTTTTATCAGCATATGGCTCGATTGAGGCAATTCAAAGAGGTGAAGGGAAGGGTGTTGAGTACCTTGCCACCGGATAGACTTGTCGGGATCGTGCTCAGAAGTACCTTCTGCTCATGCACCATCGCAGGGACATCGGTACTCTCTTAACAATAACCCCGACCGTTGTCTGTCAAGTGCACCACGACCATATCGCCGAACAAGGCACCAAGTTCTTCGAGAGACTTGAGACGGGTCTTCGGGCAGGGAGAAGTAGAACAAGACCTCGCAGATCAGACTGAGGCCGGCGAAGACGAGGTACCATCCCCATTTACTGTTGCGACTAACGCCGTGATAACCAGTCCCGCTTACAGTCCTGAAAGTGGACAAGATCCTGGTCTAAACTCGGAGTATGGAAGGGGAAAGCACTTCACACACAAGGGGAATATCATTAGCAGCATGCGTTATTTATCAGGACCTACGCCACGCAGTAGGTGCCGATAGATTAGATTGCTATATATTATATTACCTATCTATAGTTCCTATAGATAACGACTCAAAGCTTAGAGAAGGAGGAAGAACTAACTCCTACCTAAGTTACGTAGGAAAGGGCTCTTGTACGTTCCCCTCTATACTATCACGTGGAGCTTCCTAAGTATAAGGTGGAGTAGTATGGACTTACGCTCGCCCGATAACCTTATACTCTCAGCCTTGTATTTTCAGCCTTGTGTATAGTGCCTGTTTGTCCTTTTGTACACTTATCTGGCCTTGCCTGCGCTTCTCTCCTGAATTATGTGGGCTGTGTGTGGCTCGTTAGGCGATTCTCTATGACATTAGTGCTCCGAGTCTACAGCACCGCCTGGACGGTCGAGTTGTCCGTCCAAGACCTGAGCCGAACAGATAACCAACAGCCCGTGCATTTCGTAGTTGCCGATTGACACCGCGGGAGACTCAACGTATGCAGCGTGACCATCCTCCGAGAATGTGATCAGGTTGACGAGCTCTTCAGCCTACCAGACCAAAAAACGTTGACAGAGAAGCACTTGTCCTTGGACATGATTCTCTTATAAATTTGGGTTGACCAGGTCAAAGTCCTCATCACTAGAGTTTTATTACTCGGTAACTCGAACAATGGTGAATCTTCCGCTGGCATTGGTTAAGTGGTTCAGAACTGAATTTGTCAGATGTGTGTCTAGTAGGTACCGAATATACAAAAGTCAGTTCATAGCTGGCCCCCAGGCATTGATGGAAAAGTAAAAACGGCATGGGGGAGCGGGGCAGTAAGTTGATGGATCCTCGTATCTCATCGCCTAGGTCCCTGATCAGACTGGTCAAGGTCCAAGCGTGTTTACGGCATAACGACAGAACACATACAGCCTCGCCTTACAGCCTCGCCCTTGAGCCACCTATACGCAGAACGATATGATTGGCTGGACTAGTGTATAGGTAAATTACGAACGATATGATTGGTCAGGATCAAAACATAGCACGTGCGCCCATCAACTGCCATCAGCTGCCAAGACTACCCGCATAAGGCTCTAGTAGAGCCTTACGATGACTCAGCTTTTTAACACCCCTCACATTCTCAACACCCCTTGCGTTCTACTATTGGAAACCCCTTACATCGTTAGGTAACATTTAGTGGGCCTAGAACATGGAAACAAGGGAGAGTGTCTCACCTGGAATGGTATATAGAACTCGACATGAGCCCGAATCTCCCTTCGAGCTCTTCGTCTCTCGTCTTGTACTTTACAGTGCATTAAGAGAGTGACATCAAGACTTTTATCCCTCCCCTACATACCTGAAGTCTTCTCCAGTCTTCTCTCTGTCCTTGGCCCTGACAAAGCCCCCATCTCTTGCGTGACCTTATGGCGTGATAGAGACAAGGGAGTACGACAGCATTGTGGTGAAGGAATTTTTGGTACAACCTCCAGCGGTCGAGACTTTAGGGACAAGAGCTCTCTCGTCTTTGATAGTTTCACACTGTCATCCTACGGCGTACGTGGAGAGAGAGACAAGGAAAGCATCTTCTTGCTAACGAAAGCTTGAATCACTGGACAACCGATAAGGTTCGGAGAGGCACTACCAGAAAGCAGTGTCTTCCCAAGTTGTCGCCTCCCTCCCCGAACAGCCCGGCCCAATGTCTCTGGGTTGCCCACGTTACGAAGGGGGACAGTACGCCGGGGACGCCCAAGAGGCGCAAACGCATCCACCCCGAGGAGCGCAGAGAACCTCCCTGCGGTGACCACCTACCACGGTACACCCCACGGACTAAAGAGCCTCGCACCCAAGCACAAAAAACCAAGGCCAACGCCCCATGCGCCCTGGCTCGCACCACAAACCCCGACACCTGCCCGCTCGTAGTTTCCTGAACATGCCGACCTAGTAATGAAATAGTTGGAGTCAACCATGGATGGTTTCTGGAGCCAGTTGGAATGACTCGGTGTGATGCCAAGCCTTAGCCTGCCCTGCCTACTCAGCTTGTGAGCTGGATGAGGATTCGTTCGGGGGTGGCCACGGCACGCCCGAGACAGTCAAAGCACAGTTGCTGGGGGAGCTCCAAGCACACCTATATCTGAACCCCCCGACGTCGTGGCAGATCTGTCGCAGGCCCAGCCAGTAGAGGCGCAATCGGGTCAAAAAGATCGGGTTGTGGCGGGCAGAACAAGGAGTGAGAAGAATGCTGTCTATATTCTCAAGTCGGAGTGATGAATGCCACTCCCCACCCCGCTACACGGACACCACCGCCCCGGTGAGGCCAGCCCACAAGGGAGACATTCATGGAGTGAATGAACTCATCCAATCTGGAACACAGTCCACGTGCATCGACGACGAGGCTGTGACCGAGCTGGGAAGCTCGATTATCAATTGTTAGTAGAGATTGGTGCATATACAAACGCGCAACGAAGCGAAGCCTGGGAAGGGATGAAGAAAACGACAGATTGTTTACCCACCCTGTAAAGAGCAGGCGAAAGAAGTAAAGCTTCCAAGTACGAGGTAGATCGATGAACGCATGAATGCCAAAGTCTGTCTTTCATAATTCGTCGCGCGCCAGCCAGCACATTTGGAGATCCGTCTCCTGCTTCATAACATTCTAGCCCACTAGGGAAACCCAAATTCCCCGCCTGATTTCAATCACGTCCAGAACGTCGGTGTTGAGAGCCTTGCTCAAGATTTCCACGAGGTCCTCCATCCTGTGGCTGTGCGGCCGTAACCGTGATCCACGGTACGTGAGGGATGTTCGTCAGTACCGGCGTCATCTGCCCTGATAGTGGATCGAAGTGAGATTCTACGTCCTGGGGGAATGTTTGGCTCTCCGAATAATCGTCTTCGTCCAAGTCGCCTTCGAGGTTGACTTCATAGCCTTCTCCGTCGTAGCCGCCTACATCGGCCCCGTCTATCCCAAGGCCTAGGCCTTCCAGGCCCTCGATCAAATCCTCCTGGGATGCATCCTCTTCGCTCGTGGGCTCCTCAGGTTCCCATCCTTCCCTGGCCTGGTTCCTGGGCCCGGCTGGACTGTCCAGACCGTCGAATTTCCAGGTACTGTCCGGTATGCGGGGCATGCCCCTGGCGTCCAGAGGCGGAGTCCAATGCGCGATCTTGGACTCCAGCGGTGTCTGGCGCGTATTTCCATCCAACAAGGCCGGGAAAGTGTGATCGAGCATGTGACGTTGCAGCTGTTCCTCGTCGCTGAAGCCAAATAACCCTGCCACTGTATCCAAACATTCAAATTCGGTACATTTGTATTCCTTTGGCCAGGCATTGTTGATCGATGTGGCAACTTGGGAGGATTTCCCAGATCCGTCATTCCCGGTTTCACGTCGATGCGCCGAGACACCATCGATGGACCCGAAGCCTGAGGGCGGCTTTATTTGGCAGCTGTCCATGGCTGCCTGCGTTCACCAATGTCGTAGGCGAGCTGGCAGACTGAGGACGACGGAGGATAGGTAGAGTCAAGGTGAGGTTGTAATCTGCCCTGGAGGGGCACGTCGGGACGGAGTAGGTAGGGTAGGTAGGTAATCTGGTGAAGGTGGGTATGATTAAGATTGGTCTGTCTGCCTGGAGAGCCCGCCGACGGCGAAATGGAAGAGGACTTGTATGGACGAGATGAACCAACTGTAAGTGGGATAAGTTGATTGATTTTAATCAGGCTAGGAAATCTATCATGCGCACCTGCGGATTTGTTATGTGCCGGGGCAGAAATTATTCGGCCAACCTTCCCCATAGGCGCGATGGACATTCTTCGGCCAACCTTCTCAATAAGGTACGACAACATGGAACATGATTGGCTGAGAAGCAGTGTACGCCAGACGATCGACAACAACACTCGCAGCGCGCAGCGACGCGTCGGTCGAACCGGGTGCCGCAGGAATGGGCGTCAAAGGCAAGATTTGGCACCCCGTGACGTGCCACATTTGCAGCTGCCGTGTTTACCAGTCGCCACATTCCTCTGCGCGATTGGTGGATCACAGCTAGGACTGCGAAATGAACACGAACATTGCGAATATTCACGAGCGTGGAAAACCCAAAGACGTCTGTTCACAATAGTATTGACTTTACGGCACAGCGTCTCAGCTACTCCGCTACCCGTTTAGATCTCCCATGTACATGCGAGAGTCGTAGTGGCTCTTGAGTAGAACCAACGACCGCATCGTGTCAGAGTTCATCGGCTGCCGTGCGAAAGCCAAGACGTCTCGAGCTCCACTGAACACATCGAGGGTCAGGGATGCTATACGTTTGCATGAAGTCGGGAGATTGATCCAAGTCACCCAGAGATGGGACGGGTTTGTTGAGCGGTGGATGGTCTGTGTTTCGATTTTACCACTCTCGACTGAGCGGTGTGAAAGGAACTCATCCACGTGTCTCAGATGTACGAGCGGGAACAGCATATAAGCGATGAAATACTCTCCCTCGCCGATCAGACGTGCCCTGCTCCGAATCCTCCACCACGTCTGGTATCGATAATTGGGTCGAGGAGGTTTACAACGACATACCTGACGCTTGATACCGTTACCCCTGACGTCTCTTGTTTTTGCAAACCCCCTCTTTTTCTTTTTCGTGGGTTTTCTGGTCGGCTGGAGGTCAGTATGTGGTCCTACACGGCCCAGAGTGATGCCGAGTTCAACTATCAGGACCTACGCCACGCAATGGGTGCCGATAGATTGGGTTTCTGTATATTGTATTGCCTATCTGGAGCTCCTATAGATAATAACTCAACGCATTGAGAAGGAGGAAGAACTTTCCCCGCTGGACTGTCACGTGGAGTAAGCACAAGGTGGGGTAGTACGGACTTGCCTTCGCCCAACAGCCTTACGCACAGCCTTATACTCTCAGCCTTATGCTGTCAGCCTTGTACTCTCAGCCTCGTGTATAATGCATTTTTGTCCTTTACACACTTATCCGGTCTTGCCTACAATTCTCTCCTAGATTGGGTGGGGAGTGAATGGCTCCTTGGACGATTGCCTGTGACAGTCATTGCTGGAGGAGTACACCAGCTCGCTGTTCCGTGGTCACAGACGAGCCTCATGTGAGGGATGCGGTGTCGACGTGGCTGGCATGGCACTTCTGAATAGTGGAGACTGGGAATTCCAAGTCCGGCCAAGCCATATCTCTCCCCCCTGGTAGGCCACCTTCTGAAGCAATATTCTTGGCTCGACGCTGGACACGGATCATGACCCACAAGTACCTCTCTTAGAGGTCGTAGCGTACTTTGGACCCCGCAGGGCCTCGGAGTTGCACACCATTTGGAAATTCAGTGGTGAACCGCACTAGGAAAATCCAATGCCTGTGCTTAAACGAGTGAGCCATGCTGGCCTATATGGCGCGGACCAACGTTCTCGGGTAGAGGTGGCCTCCGGGTAGGTAGGACCAGCGCCATAGCTCTGGAGACTGTGCATTTCTCGACCCTGTTAGCATGGCCAAGACGGCATCATGAGTCGTGGTTTCTACAACCTGTCATCATGGGCGAAGTCAGGCCATGCTCATTATATTATAGGAAGTTGCTTCAGGTTGAGCCGGTAGCTCCATTACCCATGGTATAAACGCCAAGATTGCAGGCTCTCATGGTCAGATCTTCGCATGGCTCTCATGGTCAGATCTTCGCATGGCTCTCTACGGCCGATTTGGTAGCGATCAAGGGTCCAAGCGAGGGCTCGGGCAACGCATAGCCTGCAGGCCGGTGCGGTGATAAGCTCCCAATTGATCCTGCATGGGCGATCTGGTCCAGTGCTTGGCGCGCTTGGGACATGGCAAAGGACTTCAGTGCCCACTTTCTGAGTTGGCCGCTGCAGACATAGTCTCGCACGTCAGCATGCTGCACGATCTGATCTTCTGACTACCTGTCCTTTTCCTCATCTCGCCAGCACGGTAGTGGTGGGCTTGAAAGACCTCATGTTCCACAGACTTGCCAAGTGGTTACGCGCAAACGAACACGTGGACTGGACGACCTCAATGGGTTCAAGCCCATAGCCGGGAAATACGAATCGACGCCAGGGATGTAGAGCGGAAGTTGGAATTGATATTCAATCCCTCCATCTCGACTCTCATTCTCCGCCCTGGCCCATACCTTGATTTTAATCCAGAGGCCGTCAAATCATCTCTACTCGAAACGAGCCGGCGCTGCAGGTTTCTGGTTGAGAGAAGGGGCGGTGAACTAAATGATCCTTCGCAGCGACATCTTGCAACGATGTGAGTACTCTCTCATTCCTTAAATGACCCAGCACTACCGACACCCTCCATGGGATTCTGCCATGTCGCGCATTATGCACTCGAAGGCCTGTCGTGTCCCCGCGCAAAGTTCCGCCACGGCGAATCCTCAATTCTACGCCAGACCTCCGTCCCTGGCTTATCTGGCTGTGCAGGCCTAGCCAGTCTAGCATGCTGGCTTTCAGAGGGAGCGTGCACTACATCCCGGCATACCTTGTGGTTCCGAGACAACACAAGCCTTCCCTCAAGGGTCGCTAGCGTCAACAGCCTCCCAAGGCTGCCGGGTTTCGCCAAAGAACTCACGCCCGCACTAGGCGCCCAGCCGGATCGCCTAACTCCATGGAGTTCAGGTGGCGGTACTGGAACCTTGCTTGCGGTGGTACGGGCGGTCAGTTGGGGAGGGCCCCAGTGTTGGTGAACGCGAACGGTGGGGAGGTCGCTCAGCGGCTTCGGCAGCTTCTACCACTCTGGCTTCCTAGGTCATGCTGGCAGTCCCCCACCGAATGCCACAAACTCAATAACAGTTTCTGCCCGAGGCCTTAGGGTGCCCCGAATGCCGCCGCCAGTGCCTAAGTTCCATTCGCATATGGACGGGCGAGCCGCTGTTGGTCAATCACAGACTAGGGGCGTGAGAGAAAGGCCAGAGACATGCCTACAAGAGAACATGGCCTTGCGATGCCCTCTGGAGGCCTCGCGTCCACCAGAGAACTCTATCAGGGCCACTCCATCGGCCAGCCCGAAGGTCCTTCCCAGTCTGGGTATTGATCTAGGTCGTACTTGTTCTTCTACAGAGTTGGGAAAGGCTGCAATCGTAGAAGGACGTGGGTAGTCAACTTTAAGTATGACGGGGCCCCGAGCCCCCAGCCTCGTCCGCATAACGGTGCATTCATCTCCGTGTTGACATGCCAAGGGGCGCTAATGCACGGATCAAGTGCACGGGCCACAACGAACACCACCATTCTCTTGTGGTCCGTGCACCTGCTCCGTGCATTAGCGCCCCTTGGCAAGTCACCAACCCCTTCGGGACCATAAAGACGGGGTGTGATAATATGTCCTTCGCTGTTGGCACACTTCCCTGACAGCCATTGTTGAGGGCGTCAGTTGGAGTTGAAGCAGGAATTGGCGGAGACTGCGACTGGTTCTTCAAAGTGGTGTTTTTCCCTTGATTCGCTTTGAGGCAAAGAACCTCGGCTTCAATCACATCCCGCACATGGATCAAAATCCCAAATAACTTCGTCGACAACACCGTTCGTTGGCTCCGATAGCTCAATGATCATGCGATGAAGATTTTGCCAGGCCTCGGGAGAGCAATACAGTGGTCGAAATGGCGACGCAGCGGCCGAAGCAGCGGAAGAAGCCATCCCATCACGACAGTTGCTCGCCAATACCTAAGAAGGGACCTTAAAGTAGTCTACCAATTATCGACACTTGTTACCGTCCCTGTACCTACATCCCTGGAGTAGATCACTCCAGAATCTTTGGCGGTTACCGTCCTCAGCCCTACAGCGACCAACCAGTTCAGCGCCCGCGTCAAGAGCAGAAGGGGGTGCTACACTAGTTTCAGCGTCAGTACCAGCCCTGTTCTTGACAACCGCATCATGCGGTGTCCATCACGAAGTACGAAGAATTCTGTAACCTCACATCCGCGGGATCTGTCTTTGGACCATTTGTGGGAGACGCAAATCAGGGGATAGGTATCACTTGCTGTCAATGTTCAAATTACGCAAGGGTAGAGTGGAGAGTCATGCCACAGCCCGTATAATTCTCAGCGTGTAGCTACCCATTAGCAATGGTAGTTTTGAGCAAAATCCAGGTCTTCAGGTGCTTCTCACCCACTTCTGTAGGTGTGCCCAGGCTTGCCCTAGATGCGGCTGGGGTACCCTACTACCTGCATGCGAGCTGTTTCGGAGTCTCGCACAACAAGCTAGATTCCTGGGCAGTGCGACGCCGATAGTCGTGCGTTGCCACTCCACACATAAGAGTAAGTACCGCTCCTCCTCAGTCATCCGTGGAATCAAGTACGACCTAATATACCCTCGCCGGGATTTGTATGCGGAGAGAGATGAAATGACCTCACATGTATCGATCATTCAGGGAGGGACAGCAGTGGATGTTCAGTGACAATGTCTTCAGAGATTTCCGACTCTGTCGACGTAGCGGTGTGATGACCGAGCGAATAGTAAAGTGAGCTTTGGGCCAACCACCAGAATTTGCCTCACTTGGTACAAAAAGCTGAAATTCTTCGACGGTACAAGCTTCGAGAATGTCGTTGAAGGGATGTAAAATGGTGTCGACGGTGTGCCTGATGTATAAAATTCGGATTTTGTACATCTGGAGAGAAACCCTCGGGTTCCTTATCGTGAAAAAGTCGAAGAGAGGCGGTCAATCGGTTAGCTGAGCTGAGCATCGCCTAGAAATCAACGAATTGTCTCCGGTCTTGCTCATGGGAACCGGAGGTCATGGTGGAGAAGAATATCTGGTTCACCTTTGCCGGTGGTTCTTCGTGGGTCGTAACTTATCCACGGGTATCAGGAAAGGAATGAGGGGGGTAAGCTCGGACCTGTCCAAATCGATATACCACTCCGAACAAGTCAAACGTATCAATTTTGGCTTGTTCAACATAGCAAGGATATTGACTGTGGCGACAGCGCTCTTGGCTTGAGGGGCTTGTCAATAATTCGAATATGGAGGGGCCGGACGAGGCTGTGGCATAACCTTTTGTCCAATGTGCGAAGGAGACGAGGTACTTGTTGGAGGGAAATATGGACGTTCGTGTAGAGATACGGGGCGGCTAACATGAGAAGTGTTAGGAACGGCCTCCATATGACCTGGAGCGCGGGGCGCCTAGAGGTAGGTCTACTAGGGCGGTAGCCTAGCTACGCGAGGCTAGGTTACGTACGACACGTGACTACCTAAAGAGGAAATATCTAGAATGATGGAATGGTGGAATGTTAGTATGGGGCCATACTAGTATACTAATATATTAATATACCATCCCTAGTTGCCTATTCGGGATATGCCTTATAAGTATATAGTTACGTTCATTCCCCTTTTATAGTTACACTCTCTCGTAGCTAACTTATGACATCTACTTCACTATACTGTTCTGAAGTTACTCGACTATTCATACCTTGCGTACTCTCGACCTAGCTTATGTAATAAAGGAACTGTGACTGAGGAAGCCTAACTACGTTGGGCCATACAGGAAGCAGCTCTGATAAGAAGGCGCTTCGAAGCATACAACATGTTGATGATGTCTGGAATGTGTCAAAACACACACGAGTAGCTCTTCCTCTACATCGATTTTGGGAAGTGTCAGGCTACGCAGAGGCACGCCACGGCCACGATTAGTAGGTTATTATTCCATAGCGAGCCAAAGGCGCGGCTGTATAGTTCGGTGGATGTACCGAGCCAGCCACACCACCTGCTTGCCATCATTCAATCCGCGCTCACATGCTTTTTTTCAATGTCATCACCCAGAAATATGTTACTGGTGGCAGGGGCCAAAGTCTCCTCTTGAACCAGATCCAGGAGGCCGTTACCTGTGCTAGCGTTCGAAGCCTGGCTGATAGGTAAGACCAACCAGAAAGTTCTGTGCGCGTGGCCTCATGTGCGCGATGAGACAAAATCACTAATGATGTCTTGATCAGCCACCGTTGCCGGTAGAGATGTCGGCGGGGTCTTGGCGATATAATTCTGCCTCGGAGAGACGGCGACACTGGTGTCAAGGGAACGAGATCAAAAGCACGGCGGAATTGAATGGGACAGAAGCAAGGGTCCCCTTTCGTCTAAGGAGGACAGTTGCAGGGTTGGGCGCACTCAAAGTTCTGGCGAAGTCAGGCAGGCATATCTATATGCACAGCGTGAATAGGTGCACGGACACATTTCGGTCCCGTGCCACTCCAAGCGTGTCGTCGACGTCACGAGGAGCACAAAACTCCAGGAGGCGACACAAAGGCTGAGACACGCTCCTGGCGCGAACATGATTGCCAATAACAATTCCTTCTCAACGTAATTGGGCGGCGCACGATCCGGCAGTAGTGAGTAGTTAGGGGCTAAGCGCCGCCAATGCTTCGGGCCCCATTTTTCCATTTTCGTACCTATCATTGTCCTGGTCCTTCTTGTTGCCTCATTTCCGGTGAGTTTTTCAAAGCGGCTCCTTTTTGCCGGCTAACTTCCAACCCCCTTACGCCGAAATCGATTATAGAGTGCTCCTCTTGCCACCAAACTTTCGTTTCATCAAATCGTAAGAGACCGCCTGAGGACGCCAACCGCCCCGTACCCCGACCGAGGCTGCCGCGGAGGACCACGCCTCGACAACAATCGCCTTGACCGGGAGCAGACGCCGACCCCCATCTGCCGCAGAATCTCCCAGGTCTCGCACCTCACCTCCTCCCAAAACGTGCACTCGGCCTTCTCCATGAACTTGTATCCCTGGTTGAGAGACAGGAGCGCCTGGTCCAAGGTGGTGGCCTCTCGCACGACCGACTGCTGAGCGATCGAGTTGATGAACTTCTGGAACACGCCATCGAGAGCCTGGCAATCGCGCCAGAGTCGGACGCAGAGAGAGATGTCGTGCGTGAAGGCGAGGACGGCGAAGACGAGTACCTGAAGGAGGTGACGTCGGACCACTTCGATGACCGCCTGCCTCTGCGCCAGCTTCAGGTAGTTTTTGAGAGAGGTGCTGAGATCGTGGTCGGCCACGAGTTTGTGAACAGTCGCGAGTCCGAGAGCGGCCTCGGCATCGAGGGAGCCATCGATGTTGCGACCAGCCTCGAGGTTGGAAGCGGCCTCAGCTTGAGAACTCTGTGCCTGCCGTTGGATGCTGCGGCACGAAAAAGTGAGTAATTGTTCCGCCCCACGATACTAGCGTGTCTCAGGAATCTCACATTTCTTGGTTGAGGGTCGATCTTGCCTCGTTGAGGGACTCGGTGTTCTTCCACGACAGCGACCACTGCGTGACGGCCAATCCCCCAACGAAGACCCAGGTCACGAAGACGCTGAGCGGAAACGACCAGACGCCGAGCCGTGACCACACAGCACAGCACATGCCGACGAGCACCGAGACCGAAACCTGAAGACCCTTGGTGGCTGCGAACAGAAAGTTCCCGAGACCGTCCGACTTCCTGAGCGACTCCTTGACGAGGGCGAGACAACGCCTCCTCGATGTCTCCTCGCTCTTCTCCCCGACCCAGCCGAACACGTGTTCGAAAATGTGGGTGGTGAGGGCCGCCCCGACGGCGCGGACATGGCGGCTGATGCCCAGCTCGACAAAGGAGTTGACGAGCTCCGAGACGCCGACGGAGATGGCAAATTTTGCGTAGACGCTCAGGTTGAACTTTGGTAGGATGTATGCCTGAAGCACCGCACTGACCGTGGCCAGTGAGAAGTACCATGCAATCCACCTGAGTTCCCACACAGTGTCTCTGTCCAGGCGTTTGTCTTTTCCACGCAGCAGACGCAACGTCAAACGAAGCGCAGATGAGAAAAGGGAGAGGCGGTGACAGTAGAGATGGTAATGACGTAATATGCCGGAAGGTATCCTGCCGGGGAGAGTGTCTTTGCTGACGTTGTCGTTGACGGCATTACCATTGGTGGCATTGTGCCATTTCGGGAGAAGAGGTGTGGCTTCGTTTGTCATGGCCATCGATATGGATGGCTGGCTGGCTGACTGATGGCACTGTCGGTATTGATCTGTCCAGCAGTAGTGCGACATGAATGAAACCGGCCGACACTCATACAACCGAGACGAAAGCAAGGACACAACAACAAGAAGACGGAAGAATGAGAAGTCTGGCAAAAGAGCGCAACAAGTCAGCAAGAAGAAAAACAGAGAATCTATAAGACAGGGGGATCACTCACACTCGGATAAAATCTCGAACTGTTGGCCCATAACACCGACATCTAGGTGCATTGAATCATGATACCATGCCCCTGTTCAGCAGCTTGGGCCCTGCCCTTGACTAGACTCCTCCGCCGATTAGGTTTCACTCGATGAGTATCCCCAGATCATCGTGCCGCTCGATCTCTGCAGACTCCCGTCGAACTCCGAGCCGATAGCAGGGTCTTTCTGGTCGCCACCCATATCTCAGTCACTGCACAGTGCTGCTTGATGGTAAATGGTAGGTGCCACGCGGGCCCACCCCTTATTTTTCAAGCACACGCCCGATGCGTTCTGGGGTCTTGCGCGGTTCCGCCTCACTCCCCTCGATCCCTAGGACAGGGCCCATGTCCCGAGTCAGGGGAGACGCATGATTCGTTTACAGGGCTGAAGACGCGTCGGATCTCATGGTCCACGCCAATACTCACCGAAATCCCTGGCAATAAAGTCCAACTGGCGATCTCATGGTTCACGGTAATACTCGCCTAAATCCCTGGCAAGAATGTCCAGCTGGCGGCCTTGTGTTCCCCCAACCTAATCTTGACTGGCCCATTGGAGGCGGAGAGGGAGGCCTAGCTACAAGAGAGGAAACACACCCGGATCCCATCCCAACAAGCCGGCTGCATAACTGCTGTGACCAGTCACTACTGCCGTGCAAGGTGAGACATTTGCGGTGGCTGGACACGAGCCTGGCGAGACGGGATTGGCGGGCACGGCTCACCGTATTTTTGACAATTCTAATGTTGGGGTGTCACAACATGAGACTAGATGTCCGTTCCAAGGGGATTGGACGCAATCGACTCTCAGATCTTACCCTGGAGCGCCACCGGTATTCCATGACGTCATCAGTCGTCGAGTAGCGATCACCCTGTCCTGACTGACTGGAGGCACAAGCAGTAAAAGCACTCGGAGCGCACCACAAGCCTCGCAATCTCGACTAGAGGAGCCGGATGGCTGGATTACGTGCGTGCAGCCTCGGACGTATGTTAAATAATGCTTCTGACAGCCAGCCTGGTAACTTCGATATATATTCTTGAGAACGGAACGGCGCGAAAGCCAAAAACACACGATTTTTGGACCATGAGCCCTCGTGACAACGCCAGTGGCCGCGCTTTCATGAACTGGGCCAGAGGGAGAATTAGGCCACCCGAATCTTGCGGGTGGCCAATGTGGCTTGATGATGGAACGAATGAGAAACAACCTCCCTGACGCTATTTGAGTGTTTTTCTCTTGGCAGGCTTTTTTTGATTGGACAGATACGCTCTGAGTTTGCGACCCGTCGACCGTGTCGCACACATCCCCTCCCTCCTCTCTGCCTCTCCCTCCACTGCCACTTCGTGCCGGGGTTTCATCTTTACTCGCACGCCCATTCGCTTACAGGTGTTCATGCATGCACACAATGTCTCTTGTGCGTTCGCTCCATCGAAAACCCAGCAAAAGGCCTCTTTCCCCTCCAATATGGCGAGAAGCCCAGGAAAATGTGGGAAACAGTGGCGAGAGGCTCACCACCGAGTACCACCAGCCCACCCCAAAAGGAAACAGACGTGCGCATTACATTTTCACTCAGGATGTAGATGGATGGCCCCCCCCCCGTACGAGATCCGTGCGGCATCCATGCACTAAAAAGGGGTCGGAACGGAAAGGGTAAGAGGTAGTGTGCCAAGGTGGTGGGGTGGGGTCGAGTGGAGAAGAGCTGAAGGTCAAAATACGAGCCACAGATTGTAATGCGAGTTTTGATGGACTTGGCGTGAATTGGGGCGGGGAGTTAGAGTGCGGCATCACCCTGGACGATCCACATTTATGGCTCCTAACCTAGCAACGTGGCTGACGGTCCGGCGTCCGTACGCGGGCTATTGGTGCATACTCTGTTCCCTTCGCGGAAACCTTTTTTTTTTTTTTTTGCGAGGTGCAGAAGCCAATTCGCTGTCACATTGCGCGGGCATCCTTCCCCGCCGATTAGCGCGATTAGTGGAATGGGAGAATCTCACAGGCTTGGAACGTGATTGATGCAAATTGCCTGTGCACTGTGTGGTGTGACACTCCTGGCTGCTGATTGGCTGGATCTTTGACAGCCGGTCAGATACTCCTTTTTCCTTGATCTTTCAACCAGGAATCATCTGTCCGACAAGGAACACAAGGATTGCACAGAAGACAGTGTGGAATCAAGTCATGGAATCTATCTGATCGAACTTCTTTATGCTGTTTTGTTATTGCTGTGCGATGGCTGTTGTCCTCGATCCACCATGCCCACCGCCGTACGAGTTGATGCCTCAGGCCGAGAGCCTCGCCCCGGTTCATTAGGTCTCCAACTAACGTCCGCTCGTGAACCGTCATGAAGGATGCCGCAGGTAACGTTAGAGATGGGTATGAAAAAAGTGAGGGGGAAAAGCGGCCGAATGAGGCAGGGTTTCCGCACAGAATTGGCGGACCGTTGTGGACCCCCTAAGCTGTTAATAAGCTGTCAACTCTGACAATAACCTTTCAACATGGGGAAGTCGGAAAGTGGACAATAAATTGGCTTAGATGACAGTAAGCACTGTAACCTACCACTGACACTTTCAGTCGTAGTGCATAATGTGCACCATTTTGTCACAACGTCAAGGCCCTCACGTCGTACAGATACGTTACAGAAAGCTCAACCGAGTGTGTCGCCGAAGCCACATGTCTCAGCCGTAGGATGGAAAAGAGTGTTGTGCTCGGATGCGACAGGCATTTCCATGTTGGAGAGGTTTCCCTCGCTGCCCCCCGGCCCCCCCCCTCCCCCCCCTCCCTCCTGCTCTGACACTTCCAGACAGGAGGGTAGCAGTGCAGGGCTTGCTACCCTCCTGTCTCCAGGTGCAGTTAGGTCGCCCGAAGCTGACCATATTACTGGACGAATAGCCTACTTTTAGACCGTCCCGTTTTCCCTCAGACTTGGATCACCATCAACTACAAATCATCCGGCCGGTACACAGAATGTTCACAAACACCATGTTCAAGAACTCCCTGGAGAAATGCTGGGATTTCTCTCTCAGGGACAAACCGTCCATCACCATCGCCTCCATTTTCTTCATCTTCTCGATCTACTGCGGTGCGCTGGTTTGCTCCACGCTGGGGCCCAAGGTCCCCCAGATCGCGCCCTTAATACTTGGTTGTGTCTTCTCCCACCTCACGTCCTTGTTTTTGATCCTGACCGTCCGCGGCGGCGACGGGTCACTTCCTCACGGGAAAGTGGTGCTTGTTGTCGCTCTCCTGCTCTCGGTTGCTGGCACCACTCCCCTCCTCCGACTTTTCGACGTCACGGATGATCAGGTCTACGAGCGGTCGATCCAGATAATCTTGGTCTTCCATGCCATCATTGCTCAGGTATGCGGGGTTGATTCTATTGCGACGTGATCTGAAGAAGAAAGCTGACGCGGGAACTACCTCAAGGATGTCATGGCCATCTGGCTCCTCCTTCAGGCGTGGGTTAAACACCCCCAGTGGTGGTTCATCGGGGTGGTGATCCTGCAGCTCAGCGTCTTTACAGTGGGAGCCTACTCGCTGGTTAAGACCTCCTTAAGCATCGCCTGGATCATCAGCCCGGTGCTTCTACTGGTGTATTCTGTATTGATCGTCCACCTCTACCACCGCTTTGGCAGGTTCGAGAATCCGAACAACGAAAGCGCATATCAATCCACTGGCACCAGACGTCGCTGGATACAGCAAGCAATGCAATATCCTCCAGTCTCTTTCTTAGCTCGTTTTTTCGGGCTCAAGAACGCAGCACCTCTCATGATGTTAGTCCGGGTCGTCCTTGTACTCACGGTGCTATCAGCGGCCCTGGTGACGTGGAGTATCATCGAGGACTGGAAACATATCTTCTACACACAACTCTTTTTCTTGTTGTTTCCCTCCATTTGTCCCTCTCTTTGGTACGCCCTAAGAGTTATCAAAACATCCCGATGCCATGCCCAAGGATGTCAAGACGAAGAGGGAGGAATAGAAATCGCGAGAACAGGACCTAGGCCCCTTTCTGGCGACATTAAGAAGGGGATCCATCCGGAGTAGGTGGCCCGGCACCCCTTCACTCGCCTGGCTCTCGACTAACAATTCATAGGCAGCCTGGACCTGCTGGCACATCGCCATCCTGGAACCATCAGGAACATCAGAGTGTAGGAAGACCGGGAAACACCTATCACCGCTCAAATCCTGGCGGGTTGGGACCTCGACAGAGTCGTTCACATACCAAGGCGTTCCCACCGTAAGTTACTTGATTGACCGCCCGGTACGCATTGCTCTAATCGTTATGTCTATAGACCACCGCCTCCGTCACCCGCGACCGTCGATGGGGACTTTGGAGACGAAAGGTCGGGGAAAAGGTTGGTGCGCACAGATAGTCGGGCGCCATTGGTTCCCAAGAACTAAAAAGGAGGTTGACCAAAATAGTTGGGTTTGGGGGTGGACATTAATTCCTGCCCACCCGCGTCGTTGGGGATCCGGCTGTGCTACCCGCAGTTGTAGGGTGCGGTGTCTCTCTTCCGTCTGCGCGGAGCCGGGCAGAAAGCTCCCGAGCGAGCAGCAAGCTTGACAAGCGTGATTTGCAGTGGTGTGAGAGCGAGGACAGGGAATTACACAAAAAGTTATCTTCTCATCGAGTTATTGTTCTACCATAAATATCAACTATAACCTACCCGACGTGGTGTTTCGCTCTCCCAGGGCCCGCCTCGACGGGTCGTGGTACGCTCTGCGTTGTAGGTCCAAGGGGGTGAGCCAAAGTCAACCCACCCGTTGCCCTAACCCTATCTGGAAGGTTAGCCGAAATAATTTCCACCGCGCACACAACACGCGCTAGATAGTTTTTCCTTGCCGAATCAATCAAGTTATTCTACTTACACCACCCATGTTGATGGGTGCTGGGGTCTGGCGAACCACGCTGCAAGTGCTGTAGCCTCGATTCCTCGAGCCGGACAAATGCGTCCATGACACCCGGAGGTGCATCCTCTCTGATCCGCGCAGCAAGTCGTGCTACAGTAGCCTCGTCAACGCCAGAGGACCCATGTCTTTTTTCTTTTATTTTTCTTTTCGTTTTTCCACCCCGCGGGGGGACGGAAAGGGTGAGCTTCACTGGGCTGGGGGACGGGGCGCACGCGCAGGTAAGAAGAGCACTTACACGATGGTCTCTGCCACGCTGGGGTATACAAGGAGAAACAGCGACGAACGAGCCTGCGAGGGTCATCCAGCGCCTACCTGTGCTTCGGCGCGCTCTCGCACCATACGCTGCACTTGGTCTGTGGTTAGACTCGACGCTAGACGGGCCTTCTGTCAGAGCTGCTTCCTATATGGCCTAACGAAGTTAGGCTTCCTCAGTCACAGTTCCTTTATTACATAAGCTAGGTCAAGAGTACGTAAGGTATAAGTAGTCGAGTGACTTCAGAATAGTATAGTAAAGTAGATGTCATAAGTTAGCTACGAGAGAGTATAACTATAAAAGGGTAATGAGCGTAGCTATATACTTATAAGGTACGTCCCGAATAGGTAACTAGGAATAGTATATTAGTATATTAATATAGCAGTATATTAATATATTAATATATTAATTACTTCCCTTTTAGGTAGTTACGTACAGTACGTAACCTAGCCTTATGTAGTCAGGCTACCGCCCCGGTAGACCTACCTCTAGGCGCCCCGCACTCTAGGTCATATAAAGGCCGTTTCTAACACCTTCTAGGATTATTTATTACAGCGCTGTCATCACCTAGGTATTAGAGCTACTTCCTATCTAGCCTAACGGAGTTAGGCTTCCTTAGTTATAGTTCCTTTATTATATAAGCTAGGTCGAGAGTACGTAAGGTATAAGTAGTCGAGTAACTTTAGAATAGTATAGTAAAGTAGATATTATAAGTTAGCTACGAGAGAGTATAACTATAAAAGGGGGATGAGCGTAGCTATATACTTATAAGGTATATCCCGAATAGGTAACTAAAAATGATATATTAATATGTTAATATAGACTATACTAACATATCGCTATATCGTCTTTTTCCTTTTTCGGTAGTTACGTACGGTACGTAACCTAGCCTTAGATTACTAGGCTACCACCCGGTAGACCTACCTCCGGGCGCCCCGCGCTCTAGGTCATATGAAGGTCGTTTCTAATACTAGGCCGCTGGGCCGGGAAAGGCCTCTGTCATGTTCAGAACGTACAATGCGCTGTAGCCCGTTGGCAAGCCGTATCAACTCGACAAAGGCCAGCCTTCGTAGTAAGTATGTGTGTGGTCTGCTTACCTAATTTTCACGGACCTGGTCCCTTTGTGTGCCCTTGGCACTAGTGCCACCTGGGACCTGATATCTTGGCACGCCGATCACGTGCCATTTGAGGTATTGTTCACTTAACAGAACCTCAACCTTTTCAGACAGTCCTTCGTGCTTAGGGACTGAGAAAGGTCGGGAAGAGTTTGTGTCTTTTCTGGAACCTTCACGAGCCGTGGAACGATGCAGATTCTTGCGGCGGCCGGGGACCGGCCCATTCGAGTGTCACAACCCCGCTCCCCGGGTGGCCGCCAACGTTGTGAGTGTCAGTCGAAAATGTCCCTGTCGAGATGATGAAGATCTGTTGGTCAAAGACGTGTTGTCTTTGGCCAGCAGGATTTCAACGCTTCCGCTGCCTTGCATAATGCCGACCCCACGCCCACGTCGGTAGTCGACCTCCATGGGGCAGAAGGCCATGACGGCCCCGTGTGTTGCCTGCGGGTCAATATCCATGTTGGCACGTCCATGAGCCAGCCCTACGGACGCCCAGCCATAGTGTAACTACATCGGCGTGAAAGATGTGTGCGCGCTCAGCCTCGTGCGGGGTAGCCAGGCGCGCAGGCCGTAATATTTACACCTGTGGCTGGAGAGGTCCAGCCACACTACTCTCCCGTCACCTATCGTCCTCCTACTCTCCTCCCTTTCTTTCGCCCGCAACCGCGTGCGGCGCGAATCTGCCTCATCCCCACCTCGTTACCTGCAGCGGGCGCCTTCCCTCTCCTGTTCGAAGCAATGCTTTTCGGGAGTCAGCAATCCGTCCCTCTCGCACTCCACTCTCATCACGGTCCTTGTTGTTGTAGAGCGATAGTACCCGGGGCAGGACCGAAGATAGAAATCGCCACACGGGCAAGCCGACCGCGATGGACCTGGCGAAGCTATCCCTCCCTGCCTGTCGCCTTCTCGAGGCGGTCCTTTATGTCTCCTCCTCCGACCTCCCACCTGGCCTCCTCTTCTTCTCGACTCTCCACGTCTCGGCGGTGTGAAGGGCGGGGGAGGGGGTCGCAGGTTGACACTGTTGGTTGAGGGCGGCGCAGACAACTCACGCGACAAATGGAAGAAAATACTCGACCGCGTCTGGGTTTTGGGGGCGAGTACCGCAGCTGGAGTTTGCTCATTCTCGTCCCGTCACACACACTTTGGAGCAAAGAATGAAAGGGCTGGGAGTGATTTGTTTTCCACCATGCGAACGGAACGACGAGAAAAAACGTCAGCCAAGGACGCGAGATGGTTGAGGAATGGGCCTGCCACCAACTTCGACCGTGGAAAACGCCAATTTTGTTTTCCTCCATGGAAAGCTAGATCCGTTTCCGGCCATGGAATGCAGATCTGGTATGTTGTTTGTTGGCTGGAATTCCAGGGTGGCTGGTATTTGCTAAACCACCGGATCCGGCGTTGGGAATTTCCCCCTTTGCTCCCAGTCTTCCCTGGCTCGGTGCTTTATTCGCCCGCCAGATGTTGCGGCATCCGAACACGGCTGACAGACAGACATGTTGGCGATTTCCTGGCCGCGACTTTTACAAAACCAAGTGTCGGTGTTGGTTGCAGACCGCCCCGACCCTTGGCCAAACTTTGACTTTTGCTGCTGGTGTTAGGCTGTGGGGGGGTTGGGTAGATGGCACACAGGTAGTGTGTTGTGCTTCACCTGAAAATAAAAATAGAAATGGGGGGCTGCAGGAAAACTCTCTGTGACCCCGTCTCTCGAACAAGGCCTGACAGCATAGACCAAGCGGAAGATCAACAAGCGAATGCGTAGTTTCCGACGGCACATAACTTAATTGTCGCAAGGACTCGGATTTCCGCCGATGTTTATATTACTACTACCGTTATCCACTGTTCGCAGCGTACGAGTTGGCTGCCGCAAGCGTGGTCGGTGGCATGGGAGGGTCACGAAATGGCGAATCGCGGTCGTAAAGCACCAAGCATATTCAGTAAACGCACATTGATTGTGTCTAACTAAAGGAGAGGACGACACCAGGCTATTCCTAGGTCATCTATCGATATCACGTCATGTCGATCGCCGGATCTCAATCTGGATCTCAATCGGAAACTCAACCTGAAACTCAATCCCGCCTCTGTTCGGATCGACGCCATTCAGTTTGGTGATGGTCGCTTTGATTAGCGAGAGTCCAAATGCATAACCTCATTCCATTTCGCATCGATCATGGCCCACACCGGGTCGCCCTCGTCCCAGTACTGCTTGACGTTGTCGAAGTTGTTTCTCTTGTCGCGAGTGCGGTAGACACTGTCGATCAGACGAACGTCGGCGGTATTGCGAAGCAGTCGTAGTCCCAGTCCGCTATTGAATTCACTCGTGGACATGTTGTAGAATCGCTGAGTGTTGTGTTTGAGCTGCTGGTCGACACGCAGTGCGCAGTCTTTGCTCTCCCTCAATTCACCGTGGAAGGCCCGCAAGTGGCAGAGAGTGGAGGACGCAACGGCATCACGAAACGCTTCCACCCCTTGAGCGGAGAAGGCAGTGCGACCGAGGTCCAGCAAGCGGAGCTGCGGGTTCCGTAGGAGCTGCTTGAGCGCAGGCAGGGCATCGTCGTCGATGTAGTTGTAGCGCTGGCCGTGAGCATGGGTAGTCATGCTGGGCGAGAGGACGACGGAGCGAATGGCAGGGTGTCCGGACAAAGCCTCGCAGATGGCGGAGATGCCGGTGCTTGTGAGGCCGTTGGACTGGAGAGCGACACGGACGAGCGATGTGTTGGAGTGAAGGGCTCTGGCGAGACGGAAAGCGCCCTCATCGCCGGTCGGATTTGTTCCCAGCATGAGCGACTCCGGTTGCCACCCTGCCTCAAGCGTCTCAGCGATGGCTTGGGCCCCCTTCACACCAATCCCGTTTGCATTGAGGAATACGTTCTTCAGAGCAAAGGCCTTGCCCTTCAGGTTGGTGAATAGTCGAGCCACGGCCTCGTCGCCCAGCTCCGTGTTTTCCAGGTCAAGAGTTCGGAGGTTGCGGGTCTCCAAGATCAGTCTAGTGAGGTTGCCGACCGAGCTCGGCCCAAGAGGATTTCTCTTCAGCCAGACATTGGTGATGCTGGAGCTGGTGACCATTGCACTGACTAGATCCGCAAAACCCGCGGGCTTGATATGATTGCCAGCCAAGTACCAAGTCTCCATCTGGTCGGGCTTCTCCTTGATGAAGGAGGCGATGGCGTAGCAACCGGTGGCAGAGATGATGTTGTTCCCCAGCAGAAAGTGCTTGACAAAGCTGTTTGACTTGAGTGAGTCCATCAGCGCCTCGATGTGGGTGGGGCCGACCACCATCTTGCAGAGGTCGAGTCGTTGGTCAGCATACACGACTCCGCGATCGAATTCGACCATCGGCGTGCCCCAGATCAGCTCGTTGCCCACCCGCAAGTTGTGCGCTTTGTCCTGTCCCTGAGCGTGCTTTGATCCGCCAGGGAGGAAATCGTTTGGGTCCATGTCAGAAGCCAAGAAACGAAAGCAATCCTTAAAATGCTCCTCTTCGCCGATCTGCACAGGCATTGGCAGAGCTACTGGACCAGTCAGAGGGATGGGATCGAGCTCTTGCCCAGCCCACGGTCCTTGCGTCACCGGGCTAGCCTTGAGGGCTTCCTTGGTCGCCTTCTCGTATTCCTCGTTGGCTCGGACAATCTGGCAGGCTTTCCTACGACTAGCCTCATAATGGATGATTGCTTTGTCAGGACTGTAGTCGGGGAAGAGGAGTTGACTGATAACCTGCACCTGCTGTCTCACTAGGCGCGAGCTGCGGCTCGGCAGCTTCTTGACGTTGCTCGGTATTGCATGGGATTTGAAATCATTGTCGATGGCATGCTTAAGTACGTTGACGGCCTCAAGAATGTCTTGGTGAAAGACTGACAACAGCTCCTCATCGGCAGCACTGGGATTGAGAGAGTGTAGAATGGAATTTTCTGTCAGTTTCTGACCTGCCTCGGACGCCATCATGGATGTTGGTAAGATGGATGTTGGTAAGATGGGTTTTGGTAAGATGGGTGTTGGTGAGATGGGTGTTGGTGAGATGGATGTTGGTAAGATGGATGATGGTAGGATGGATGTTGGTCAAGAGGTCAGAGAGAAACGAGATACTTATAATCGATTGAGGCAGCGACCGACCCCACTGGCTAAGGCAGTGGACAAAGCAGTGGTCACAGGCAGTGGGTGAAGCCCAGGAGCATCACTCCATGTTTTCACTGGGATGGAGTCAAAGTGAAGAACACATTGCATACAATCGCAAGCGGATATGAGTCACAAAGCGTGTCTGGGATCCTTTGTTCAATAGCGGCACGACTCACCATGATGAATACGAGGCAGTGCCTTTGAGCCGTGGGCCTTTGTCCTCTGATGCCGCCCCAGGGCTCGTCCCAAGGTCTGACGTAGGATTCATTCGACGCCATCAACGCATGCAGGACCATTGAGCTCTGATGAGATGGTTGCAACCGTTTGGAGGCGATGTTGTCTTGGGCTTACATCAGGGACACACAAGCTCAAGTGAGTAAGTTTCGATGATTAGTCAGCAAGGCCTACAGTTTGGCCGCGATATTGAAGACCTGCAACTTGAAACCCGTACAGGATGGGGTCTGGAGTTGAAGACCGCAACTTAAAGATGATGCAGCATGTGGCTTGGGCGTTTTGCGGCAGCTTGGACGTTTGCGGCAGCTTGGACGTTTGCAGATCGTATCACGGCCTGCGCGCCTCAGGTGGTGGGCTACCCCGCGCAAGGCTGTCTTCCCCGCACAAGACTGAGCGCGCACAACCTTATCTTTCATGCTATCGCCGCAACCACTAGTTAGACTCGTTCGTCTCAGAATTCATGTCATAATTGCACCCTTAACAGCGGTCACGTTCCTGTTTTAGGTTGCGCCGTGATAGATCGAAGGACGGAGGTTGAAGGCAATGACGTCTTGAAGGCGGTGTCGAGACCTCGCAGACCACCTTGCCCACGCTTCGACGCAGACAACATAGTCTACTACTTCAGATGACACCGCGGGCCGTCCCCCCTTCCCTTTAGCGCCTCCCTCCTCGGCCTCCTGTTCCTAGAGGAGAAGCCCCTGCCAGTCCCGGATGCGACTGATGTACGCCAATACAGAAACACACCAGTTCCCCAGCCGCCGGTCCGTAAGGCTGTGGATACCTTCCCATTGGAGACATACGGTCGGAAGGCAGACCATCTCAAGACTTTGGTGCTCCTCAACCTGCAGGAAAAGGCGCCGGCGCTCGCGAAGTACCCGGGACTTTGGGGACCTATATTTGAAGAGATGGAGAAGTGTGTGCCACAGATAAAGCGGAATACATTGATGATGGCGATAAGGAGAGCACGAGAAAAGACAGCATACACAAGGGCCCAACCACTCACACGGAAATCAGGGACTAACCAACCACGCGCGGAGGACCTTGTATATTCAGGAATGACCGTTACTCATACATGACAAATCTCTCCGTTCGCCCGAGCGCGTCTCGGCGATATCCTTACTTGTCAACATACCAGCATCTAAAAGATATACCGAGCGAGCCAAAGAGACGTTCTACCCTCCGTCTCGGGACATGTGCTTATTTCTTCGAAAACATCGACGCCGCCGACGCGCTTGCTCCTCTTCATCCTGTGACCGAGGAGCTATAGTTGTGCTACATGAAATAGTTTCTCTCGCAACCAATACCGAAGAAAGGGGGTCCCATCACCCCCGGACCCTTGCACCGATGCACCTCGGTGGGCTGTGAGCGGGCTACGTGCGGCAGCTGCTCGGGCGAAGTGTACACAAGCGAGCCTCGCGCCACGGCTAAGCTGGCGGCCGCAGACCTGTACGGCGCCGAGGTGGCCGTGCCCGTGTCCGTGGCCATGCTGATGGCTGATGACTGGATGTACTGATAATGCAATGGAAGGCGTCTCAATGAGCGGTGGAACCAGAAAACGGGGTCAGGGTCTGAATGGGTACGAAGTATCCACTATTCCATCCATCATCAACTTTCACCTCTTATGACTGCTTCATGACAAAAGGACCCGCTCTATCGGCGGGTGCTCGAGTCCCTATGGGCTTAATCTTCTGTACTTAGCATGCCTTCGCTCTTTGTCCGAGTGTTATCCTCACTTGGGATGCGTCTTTGTTCTTCACTTCAGGCTCTTCCTTCTTGTCTCTAAGCTCCTCCTCTTTCTCTTTCAACCTTTGTTCCACTGTATGGATCTTCGTCGTAGTCTCTTTCGTTTTGTGGAGAGCGGTGCGGCAGAACCTGTTCGAGCAGAACAATGAGAAAAAAGACGCGAGCCTCGACCCGGTCCACAGCGGTCGGGAGGGTCAAAACCATGACTTATGATGAATATTTTGGCAGCCCAAAAAAAAGCGTAGAGAGGAGGAATTTGGCATCGACGGCCGAGCCAGGAAAGACCGGCAGATTGCAAAACGAGGTATCGAACCTCCCAAACGGCTTGAGCCCTTGTTGGATGCTCCATCACTGGTCAAGGAACTAGAAATAGACACGGGCGGGATTGAACCTAGGGGACTGGAAAGTTATTGTTCTGTTTTGCGGTTCGGATTGTCCATTCAGCCCTCATTGTCCGACTTGCCACTGAGTGTCGCGCAACAGTTATCAGCCACCAAACGGTCTGCTTTTCTCATTTTGGAACATGCCCCAAACTCCGCAGCACTAGTTGGCTATCCTCAAAGGCAGTTTGTTGATCTAGCATAGAGAGGAAAGGCTAGGGCCCAACAAGGGGAAAGGTTATCTTCGCAAGGGCGTTTGCGGCTTCTGTTTTGGAGTGCGATAAGGATGCCTTGAGCTTGATATCGGGCGTAAAGGCGGCGAAGGTGAAAGAACAATGCGGCTTGTACAATAGAACAATCCTATGCAGTAGACTGTAGCATTTGGTTCCGATGCATGTCTGTCGACTGGAAGCTGCACCTTCGGCTAATCTTCGGCTAGTCCAGAAAAGCTCTTCAAAAGGATGTCATGTGATCTGAGGTAGTTTAGCTTGGCAAATGCTCGGCCGCGGCAAGCTCATGTGAATCGCGTCCTCCTCCGACCTCTTTCGACTTGAAACATCAACCAAAATCACCCTCGCATTCTTCTCTCCTACGCTCAAAGGGTGGCCCTTCGCTACCGCCTCGTCATGGCCGTCTTTGAGTGCGTCGAGCCTCACGATCTATATGCAGAACCCAAACGCTGCTCCGAGCATGCTCAACAGCAGAACCGAAGGGCCCTACGAGTTCATATCGATTCGATTTAGGATTAGATTACCTTGATGAAGATATATTACTCTCAGAATGTTGTCGGGGTCCTCACCCTAGAAAAAGTTAGATTAGGCATACACCTTAGCGGCTGGGTGTTAGAAACGGCCTTCATATGACCTAGGCCGCGGGGCGTCTAGAGGTAGGTCTACCGGGACGGTAGCCTAGTAGTATAAGGCTAGGTTACGTACCGTATATAACTACCGGAAAAGGAAAGAGACGATATAGCGATATATTAGTATAGTCTATATTAACATATTAATATACTATCCTTAGCTACCTATTCGGGATACGCCTTATAAGTATATAGCTACGCTTATTCCCCTTTTATAGTTATACTCTCTCGTAGCTAACTTATAATATCTACTTTACTATACTATTCTAAAGTCACCCGACTACTTATACCTTACGTACTCTCGACCTAGCTTATATAATAAAGGAACTATAACTAAGGAAGCCTAACCTCGTTAAGCTATATAGGAAGTAGCTCTGATACTAGGACCGGGAAGCTATGGTAAAAGAGGCCCCGGAGAAACTAAATAACGGTATAAAGACCTGATAGGCAGGCAGAGGCGAGAACCTACGGTATACGTAGTACGTAGAGAGGAGGTACGGGAAGAGGAGGATAGCTAAGTGGTCTAACGTTAGAGCTACTTCCTACATAGCCTAATAGAGTTAGGCTTCCTCAGTCATAGATCCTTTATTATATAAGCTAGGTCGAGAGTACGTAAGGTATAAATAGTTAAGTAACTTTAGAATAGTACTATAAAGTAGATATTATAAGTTAGTTACGAGAGAGTATAACTATAAAAGTGTAATAAGCGTAACTATTTACTTATAAGGTCCGTCCTAAATAGGTAACTAAGGACGGTATATTAGTATATTAGTAGAGTCTAGCCTAATATACTAATATATCGTTTATTTCCTTTCTCGAAGGTTATGTACTCTACGTAACCCTAGCCTTATCCTCTATATATATATATCCTCGTTAGGCTACCTAACCTAGTAGACCTTCCCTTAGACACCCCGCTCCAGGTCGTATGTAAGGCCGTTTCTAACATCTAACTGGAAGGCTTGTACCCTGGATATCACGACGCAACCTACAGCAGGAGCGATCGCTGTCAAGGGTGCAAGTATGATATGAATTCTGAGACGAAAGAGTCTAACTAGCAGTTGCGGCTACGGCACGAAAGGTAAAGTTGTGCGCTCAGCCTCGTGTGGGGTAACCAGCCTTATGCGGGGTACACCGCATGAGGCGCACAGGCCGTGATACTGGATGGGATAGACTAACGCGGGAGGCTATACGGTTCAATGGCAAAGATAAGCACCTCTATAATTCCTTGTGTGGCTATGAGCTAGGATGCACGGTTCGTGTAATTGTTAGGTGCTTGGAATCGTGTGCGTCGAGAGCACCCGGCGTGGGGAGTTAGGCTAATTCTGACGAGAGCATGTTTCACGTCTGTTAGGTAGCATCCTCAAGCCAAAACATTTCTCTTGATGATCAGATAGCCTACACTTTAGGCGTTTATGGTGTAATGGGGGGATCTACAGGCTGGCACGTGATTAGTGGAATTTACCTGTACAATGTACAAGGAGACATTCCTACCTCCTGATTATCTGGCTCTCGGACACTAGGTCCGAGAGTTCTTTTCTTAGAGACCCTCTTAGAGGATCAGTTCTTAACAAGTGCTCAACAATAAAAAAGTAAGTAATCAATAAAGTAATGGAATCTATCTGATCCGGAGCTTCGATACTGTTTTATTGTTACTATGCGACAGTCGTTACTCCCCACACCGTGCCCACCGCCGTACGAGTTGATGCCTCTGGCTAAGAGCCTCGCCCCAATTCAATGGTTTCGATTCTCCCATCTCAACCACTCTGCAAATCCGAGTAATGCTAGGCTAGTCTCACCCCAGATGACGATTCTCATCTTATTGGCAGAAGGCGGTTTGAAATGCCTACAAAGTAAGACCATGACGAAAGTCGGCAAAGACCGATGATGTTGAAGCCAAATCCTCGAGTTGCTCTAAACTTGCTGCTTCACATGATGGATGTGTTCTACAAACAAGACGTTCTCAACTGTCAAAGTCAATATGCATAAGGCTGGAAAGTTTGTTCGTAGTATAACTTAGTCGACTAAACCTCATCCTAAAGCTCGCTGCCACAATCACGTTGGAGAATATCAGGACCTACGCCGTACAGTAGGCACTGACGATTGGAGAACTGTATCCGATTGCCTAACTGTAGTTCCTATTGACAACGACTCAACGCTTAGAAAAGGAGAAGAAACAGACCCCTCCTGAATCGCCAGGGGTTTATATCCTGTAGCTTCCCCTCTTGTACTGTCACGTGTATCAGTACCTTGTTCGAGGTGCTATATGCCGACAGCCTTACTCTCTCAGCCTTATCTATGACAACCTTATCTATGACAGCCTTATCTATGACAGCCTTATCTGTGACAGCCTTGTCCATGTCCATCCTGTTATCCTTTCCACTCCTGCGAAGCCCTCCTGATTTAGGAGGGTTCGCAGGGCATCGAGGGGGTACAAAGCCCTCTCGATTCAGGAGGGCTTTGCAGGGCGCCTGTGGTAGCTGTTCGTGACAGAGAACCTCACTTGATCGATTTCGAGTCATAATGAAGAAGCGTCTCTAGGGGATCCTATTGCTAGCTAGCATCGGTGACAACTAAGCGATACCGTCATGAGGTATACCGCGACATCATCCTTCATTGCCCTCATCCTTCATTTGTGTACTCCATCCTAGGCTATGTCTCCAAGGCCATAATGCAACGCCAAGCAAAGATTGAGCATTGCCCTCGTTTGATTGTTTTAGCTCCTCCAGCCTTATCCTGTCTCGAATTTTGTAAATATGGACGTTGCCTGAGGTTGCATCGCAGGCGTAAGGAGAGAACGGAATGTTGAAGACGCTAGCAGAGTTCTTCAGCTCGTTTCCGAGATCTTTCCAGTCGGGGCCGCCTTCCACGAATAAAAAGCAGTGCTTACTGTCGCATCGTCCTCCAAAGCTATCGATGATTTCCTTTGTCTGGCCAGGCTTTGTGATAAAGATCGTTCGGGCTTTGTGGCAGACATTTTGAGGGTGTGCCACCATCCGTGGCGTCATTTCAAACTGCCAGATTGCACCTGATGCCCAAAAACCTCTGGATTGGATAGTGCGGTAGAGCGAACAGGATTCGCGGTTCGATGAAAGTGCACCGTTATCTGGGGCCTGGTAGACGAGGACCTGGCAGCCTCGATCCATGAAATGCGCAGCCAGCGCCAGTCCGGTCGCGTCGAGTCCGATGACGGCGACGGTGTTATCTGCGGGGTCTTGTTCCGGTTCGAATTGCGGCGAGAATGCAGTGCCGTTGGTCGGCGTATGTCCCGCCATTTTGCGTTGTAGAACTGACTGTCAAGTTTTGCGACTGCGGTTGGGAACGATCTGGCTGACAGGACGCAAAAGGGCGCCGACATGAAATGGGTGCCTATTTCTACCTGAGCCATGTTACTACGGCGCGGTGAGTGATTAGCCCGACCAGCTAAAACTCCTTGGCATTACTACTTCAGTCACGTGGGCGTATCATAAGATTGGGATGCAGGTTACGTACCGTGATGGAAATTATTCGGCCAACCTTCCCAATAGGGTTACCACCTCCTGCCTAGAGTAACCAGTCAGAAGTTCCCAACAGAGTTTAATGCGGCCATTTAGTTGGCTACCACGCGATTATGAGGTCATGTCAGTATGCGGCTGGAAGAGGAAATCGGCCGAGAGCGAACATCATCTAAAAGAGAAAATCATCCAAAAGAGGAAATCCGTCCGAAAGAGGAAATCGGCTGAAAACTGACTGGAAGTGAAATTCATCCGAAAGAGGAAATCGGCTGAAAATTGACTGGACGAGAAAATCATCCGGAAGAGAAAATTGGCCGAAAAGGGAAACCAGCTGAAAAAAAAACCGCCCTAAAGAGGAAATCAACTGAAAATTGACCGGAAGTAAAAATCATCCGAAAGAGGAAACCGGCTGAAAATTGACCGAAAGAGGAAATCATCCGAAAAAGAAAATCAGCCGGAAGAGGAAATCAGGAGGCCCGTGTTCGTACAAATGGCAGACTGTAGCTGTAGTACCATTTGCTAACCTGAGCATGCATCCTGCATCAAACTGCTTCCAATACGGGCAGACAAAGTTTGAGGATATGCTGGTTTAGGCCGAACAGGCCGAGCTGGATCCCTTCTGGTGACGGTGGTAGGCTTTACATCCAGCCTTTCATATTCGTAATAGAACGGTCTGTGAGGTTCGGAGTCTCAGGCGAATACACCTTCGTCATCCTCATCTCGCCGGCAAAAAGACTTTCTTCAGCAGTTCGGTGCTTAAGGTTTATATCGAGCCCAGACTGAGGAGAGCATCTCTTGGTGGCGCCGGCAGCTCAAAATGCGGGGGCAATTATGCCGCTGTTCTTTTACGGCGGGAAGATGTCATGGCTGCTTTCAGGCACTGTTATCCGATGGGGAGCGCGGAGAGGGGAAAAAAAAACAAGGAATGCGAGGTCACGAATATCTTCTTTGTGGGATGGGACGAATTAATTTGGAACTCATCCCTGATGGTCCGAGTGCTTTGCTATCTAACTTTATTTTGTTTCCGGCTCTTCAATTCTCCATCCATCATGTCGAAAGTGGCCTCTAGCACTTTTCTGATCACTCCTAGCGATATCTACACACTATTGTAGGAAGTGACTAAAGTTTAGGGTTGGGGCTCTCTTTAAAATTTAGAAACTCAGTTTTAACCAAGGCTTTTAGCTGAGTAAACCACTATTTAATGGGATTTAAGTCCGGTGAGTAAGGGGCTAGGTAAAGTAGCTTAACACCTACATCGTCACACATTTACTGTATCCCTAGGCTACGATAAGACGAAGCATTATCCATGACCTGGACTGACTTAGGTTCTAGCTATCGGCCGCATTAAGGGAAGAGTTCTTCGATGTATATCTCGAAGATGGGGCCATCGGTAGGGCCTTGGTGGACGTAAGATGTTAGTATGCTGTCGTAAGTGTACGACGGTAGGATATGACATCGTTACACTCGTTAGAAACGGGCGATCTAAACCGGGGGTCACGCCTAAAGGAGACCAACAAGTGCGACGAAATCCCGCCGTATTGTCGCGGTCTATTTCGTCTACATATACAACCTAGTCTAGGTTAAAGGAGGATAGATCGTATAGGTATATATTACGTAGATCGGCACTCTACTCCCTAGAAATTCGACGAGCTACCTTCTTTGACTATCCGGCCTTCTTTAGACTCCTACTCCTATTTAACGCTAATAGCAGCTTATTATATTCGTCCCGTAAGCAAATGAACACCTTTCCTAGTCGTAGCTAGGGCTTCCTGCGAAGGAGGTCCAGTAGGCTACCGAGCATCTATTTTATCATTAACAGAGGGCTGCCTCCGCGGCCATTATTTAGTGCCGTCGTACTGCTAAAGAGTTATAAATTTGTCCGGTAGGTAATGATTATACCGGGGCTGCACCTAGCAACACTTACTATTTCATGATTTACTAGCCTTCCTTCTTCGATCACTACCTGAATCATCGCATGCTGCGAGGATGCGAGATTTGGAGAGCATCACATAGCTTGACAATTATGTATTGATCCCATTCCTCGCGCGGTGGGCTTCCCTCGACGCGTTACGGATCTTCTGCCATAGTAAAACCGGCTCGGCCTGAGAGAATCGACTCAATTTCTCTGTTTGTCTCCGCCTGACGCGAGAACTTGGGTCTTATCAACAACGGCTCTGTGTGGGTGGGCAACCCGGCCGACGGAGGAGGATCATCCAATTCGTAGTCAGCCTCATAGCCCTCACTGAACCTATCGATCCACCCTTCGGAATTTTGCTTGTACATATCTGGAGTTCTGTCAATGATGAAGGTCGCTTGATCCCGCTCCGCAGCCTTGCCCAATTCAATCGCCAGGATAAGGGTTTATTTCAAGTCGGGAAAATCCTTGGGAATCGACCAGAATCTACTGCAATGGCCTCATGATTTGTTGCTGCAAAAGCTTCCAGATCTGATCCTGTCCATTCGTCTTACTCGTCTCGTCGAGATTAAGCAACGTCTGCAAGGTGGCCAGGCCACTTTTCACCAGTGCTGAAAGTCTGTGCTAACTTCGGCCATGGCTGAGTTCATTTTCGAAAGGACCGTGTCGACACATTCACGTGGTTAGATAACAGACACACGGAGAGAAACGGGTGCTATACTGTGTCGCAGATGAAGTTGATAATAATGTGCTCGGCAGTGGCTTACCGTAACATCACCGAACATTCCAACTCGGCCATGGGGATTTGTTCGACTATTAGGTTATGCAGGCATACTTTCTCGGATATTTCCATAGGTCTCTACATGATAGATGGCGTTGGTCAACATAAGATTCCTCTCGAGAGGCTTAAACTTGCTGCGACGTACCTGTAAGGCTTTGTCTGAAAGATCTGTCCAGCGCTCGCAAACAATCTGGTTGACTCGTTCCTATACGTTTCCGTCCTCCTCCATGCTATCACAATAAGTCAGGACATCTCTCATTAGGTGCACTTCAAGCTTGGTGAAACAGGGATGTGACGGGGGACTTACTAATATCTCAAGGATCGCGGCTCCAACTCATCCTGACCTCTGATGCTGGCAAGCTCTCTTTGAAGCCCTGTCGTGTCATTTTGCATCTTCTCTTGTACCATTATCCGTAGCTCTTTCTCCTGGTCCCGTTCGGATGTCCTGTCGTGCAGGTCCTTGCTGAGACGGCCCTTTGCCATCTCCAACTCCTTCCAGTCCCTCTCTCGGTGTGCAATTCTTTGCCCGTTGTCCTGTTACAGCTGCTCTTTCTTCTGTTGATAGTCTTTCTCCAAGTCCTGTATTTAGTAGACTCGCGTTCGCACGACAGCCTTATACTTTCAGCCTTGTGATTTCAGCCTTGTGATTTCAGCCTTGTGATTTCAGCCTTGTGCCCTCAGCCTTATGTGTAATATCTGTTTATCCTTTGTACACTTATCCTTTGTACACTTATCCTTTGTACACTTATCCTTTGTACACTTATTCAGTCTTACCTCCACTTCCCTCCTGAATTGAGTGGGGAGTGTATGGCTCCTTGGGCGATTGTCTGTGACATTAGGGACCAACTGGGGTAATGTTTGTCGTCGCACGCTGACATTGAAGGGCCATGCAGGGTACTTTACGCTTGCGTGATTAGTAGAAGTTGCGTCTACGAATGGGATCCGCCCACGTTTAAGCATGAGAACATTGCATTAGACGTAGGGCCTGGAAAATCAGAGCACATCGAGTATTTGATACTTTTTATTGCCAGTGGGAGAAACAGAATGAGACAGCATCGAGCCGTCCTTCGGTCAAAGGGTGCACGTTCGAAGGTATGCTGCCCGGCTAGCTCATCCGTGTTGGCAAAAATGGGGAAGTAAAGACGACCGTATAGATTCCTGGGTGCCCAGGATGCTCTCAGGCTTGTGATTATGCATAAAGGTCAAAACTTGTCGACACGTCGCTTCCGTAAGCCACAGCATTTGTAGTCCTTGTCGCAATCACTATACCTGTCAAATCATTGCTTGGAAGGAGAAGGGACAAAGAGTAGATTGTAACCTTTTGAAGGAATTCTGATGTGGCGTTTTCCATACTGTCACGGTACCCCGCACGAGGCTGCCTACCCCACACGAGGCTGAGTGCATAACATTATCTACCGCGTTGTCTCCACAACCACTAGTTAGACTCTTTCGTACTACAATTCATCAATTCAAGCGCACAGCGTGATACATACCATGGACGCTTTGGAGGTTTATCATAATGGGTGCTGAAGCTGAAACATGGAAGACCACCTGTCGATCGAGGCAACATCTTCGTTCGAGGAAGCACATCAATTTCACCATCACAGGTTCTTCTGCAGTGTTACCTCGGGCTGATTCTCACGAGAATAACCCCATAACCCCAGGCATCCCAAACTGGTGAGATCAAAAGCTCGGAGTAGAACAGTGGGTTAGTGTAACGAAGAGCGATGATCTGCCGTGGCAGCATTATCTGACTCGGTGCATTACTTGAGCCCCCGGTCGGCATATAGTAGCGTCTGACTCGTGCCTCTCCGTCCTGTGAATTGAGAAGATATTCAAAGATATCTTGATCCCGTCTTCCACACATCTTCGTGTACATCTCTGTTAAAATGGTCGCTCCAGCTTCATTAGCGTCGCTGTTGAGTCCACGATAACCGGGGATAATCTTATCTAGTAAAGCTTTAGCTAAGCTAGTTTTTACCGGCTAAACTAACTAAATAGCTACGCTTCTAATTAGTTACTCTTATCGACGCTTATCGATTAGCTAACGAAAAGATAGATAACGTAACTTTCGGATCTTAGTTAATCCGATCCTAATTTTAACTATTTTACTTTCTATTTACCGTCTCGTCACCGCTACTCTTTAACTAACTTAACTTCCTTTAATAATAACATTAAATTAATCATCGATAGCCTTATTTTATCGTTCTCTAACTAGAATCTATCTATAAATAACTCTATTAATAATTCCTTTATAAAATTAAGTTATAGACCTATTAAACTAATAAATTATAGGACCCTTAAAATTACCTTAAAATTACCTCCTAACTAGTCGAAAACCTTCTTTTATTCCTCTAATTATCCTCCCTTATCTCTACTCTTAAAGGCTACTAACGTTAGATAAAAAAAGGTAGAACTATAGCGTTATAGATCTTAATTAGACTTACGGTTAAAGCCGGCGTCGTAAGACTTAGTAGGTTCCTTAGTACGTCCTCCGGACTTAAGTAGTTATTTATCGCGGTTAGTTAAGTATAGGGTTCTATAACTACTAATAATATATAACTATTAGCTCTTATTTATACATTCCTAGGTAGCGATAGCTATATTCTTAGTCTTAAGTAGCCTTCCTCTAGGATCTCTACTACTAGGACTACTATTAGGACTACCTCTAGAACTACTACTAGGGCCTTCTAGACCCTTAAGAGAGATAAAAATATATATTAATTATCTTTAGACTAAGCTAATTAATTAATTCTATACTATCTAGAGTAATAGAATTATTATAACTTACCTTACTTACTATAGTTATTCTACGAGGAGTAAGCGAGCCGCTATATCTCTAGTAGTTCTAGTATAGAGAACTCTAAGTTTTATACGTCTTAGTATAGTCTCTATAGTACGCGTAATTATACCTTCTATACCTCTTCGTCGTAGATAGTATAGCTAGGATAGCCTTACTATAGCGGCTATACGTCGTAAATAGACCGTTATTTAGAGAGAATATTAGGCTTAGCGACGTTAGAGTAAAGCGCCTTCTCTAATATCTACTCTTAAGTAGTTAAGATAATAACGTTAAGCTTTAATTAATAATCCTATAACGTCTTTAATAGTTAGAGCTTAGACTTCTTTAGTTAATAGTATTTAAAGTTATAATAGTTCTATTATATCTTCTTAATTCCGGCGGAGTTCTACTCTTAGTTAAGCTTAACGCTATACCTCTTCTTAACTAGTTAATCTTTAACGTCCTAACCCTCCGCTTAATCTAGAAGATACTAATTAGTAAGTTAATCCTACTCTTTATAATACCGATTAAGGCTACTTAAAGGACTTCTATAATACCCTTACTTAGTATTAATTAACTTATTATACTTAGTATAATAAGAGATAGTTTAACCTTAAGTTAATACTAGATAACGTCTACGCCCGTTACTACCGTATCGATAAATACCTCCGTAATAGCTAGCCTTTCCTATATGTTCGGAGGACTTAGAGGATTACCTAGATAGGTAATAGATAGGCTCATTATAGGATTAAACCGATAGGTATTGACTATTCGACTGTAGAAGACTTAGTGAAACTTGACTATCTAAGAGAGGGGAGAGGAGTATCTTTATATAGGTAATGAGTGGCGATAGTTAGAAGGTAAAAGAAACCTATCGAATCGCTATTAGTAAGCGATGATGTGAGTAGCTACGCTACCTAGTTATCTTACCTAGCTAAGCTACCTAGCTACGTAATCAGGTCATAAGCTAAGCCTAATTAGGTAAGAGGCCTAGATAGCGATATTCTATACTATATAGTATTAAGAACTATATAGATCCTAGGCTAGGCTATCCTAGTCTACCTAAACTTACTTAAATTAAGGAAATACTTATTACTTACGTCTACATTACTATTAAAGTTCGCTAGGTTAGAGGCGCCTAGTACCGTTATAAAGGTTACATTTATAACTTCCTTTATAATACTAGACTTATCTATAGTAAGCTACCTCTTCTACCGTAAGACCTTAAGTTAGTCTTACTACGTCCTCCTAATACTAAAGCTAATCTATTACTTAATCGCTAGTTTAGACGAGACTTCTGTATTTATTAGAGGACTATCTATAATAGCTCTAATTCCTACGCCTTAATTATCCTAACTATTCTAATATTAAGATTAATAAGGCTACTCTTTAATAGCTTCTAATTAACGATTCTATTATCGACTAACTAATTATAGAAGAAGTATCTAATAGCGTTAAAATAGTAGATAGCGATAAATAGGATATTATAGATGAAGACGAAGGTATCTAGACCTTAGTTATCCCTAATCTTCTTACCTATAAGGAAGAGATCGAAGATCTCCGTCGTTAGGTTATATAACGACGCTACTTAACCTTATCGCCGATATATACTACGCTACTATCTAAGTTTAATATAATCTAGTTAATACTATCCTAGGCGTTTCCTACTCTATTTCCTTATAGTATTATAAAGTTTATTACTCCTCGCCTACGATCTATAATATATATTAACTACGTTAAGTATCTCCTTAAGTATTAAGATAGGCGTTTTATAAAATATCCTTACTTTAAGTACGTCGTCTTTAATATTATTATATAGAAGTAAGTTAAATACTAGATTAAGCTTCTTTATTAAGAAGACTAATCGTAAAGAGATAACTATTAACGATCTACGAGCTACCTTTAATAATAATACCGTTAAAGCTTAAACTCTACTAAATTTAATTACTTACTACGTTAATAGCCTTCGTAGAATAAGACCTTTTTAGGCTAGCTAACGTCGTTAACTTAAGATCTTTATAGAAAACCTAGGATCGCCTTATCTCTTTATTACGCTCTCCGCGGCTAATTACTATTAATATAATCTTATAAAGTATCTATCTAAGTTCGATTAATAGAAGATAGTAACTCTAGATAAGCGAATCTAAATTATTCGTCGTAATATTCGCGATAATCTCCTAATCGTTATCTACTACTTTTATACTTATCTTAAGGCCTTTAAATAGACTATCTTTATTCTAAAGTTTAATATTAAGGACTAATAGAGTTATTATAAATAGTAGAGCTATAGTAGTATCTATATATACTATAAGTAGTTTTCTATTATAGTAGCTTACGTAATTATAGTCTATAAAGCTTAATAAATAACTATAGAAAGAGCTATTCTAGACTTAAAAGAACGAGACTTCGCGGTAGGACTTAATTACGTCGCTATTTTACGTATTAAAACGCTTAGTAGTATCCTATTTAAGAAGTTCTTTAATTACGAATACTTCTAGGTTCGTCCGTTAGAGACTATAAAGGTACGGAATACCGATCGTTAGCGTCGATTAACGTAGTATCTACGTACTTAAACTAATTAGGAACTAGTTATTTAAAGTAGTTTACTAGTAATACTAGAGTAAAAAAAAAAGCTATAGGAAAAGGCGCGCGAAGAGGTACACGAAAAGGTACGCGAAAAGGTACGTGAAACGGCGCGCGAAATAGTCGAAATAGCGTAGGTAACGGCTAATAATAAGGCGTAGGTAATAAGGCGCTAGCTAGCGCTAGCGTAAAGTAGTCGATTATAGAGGTTTTTTTAAAATTAGCTTTAATTTCCTAATTAGATAGGTAGTACGGATAGGTAGTAAGGATAAGTAGTAAGGATAGGAATATATAGTATTTTAATATATAGTTTTCGTAGGATTCTACTACGATATATAAATCCCTAATTAGGCCCGTTTTCTACTGTAATTATAGGGTAGGAGGGGTATAGATATTATATAGAAACTAGATGGAGGAGACTAATTAAAAACGCGTATAGTAGTTAATCGCTTCGCTAGCGTCTTAAGGAGTACCTAAAGGGTTTACTCATCACAGTCTATTTTTATAGGTGGCTGGTAGAATATATCTATACATATGGTTCAGGCTTTCGAGGTCGGAATCCCAGATCTTTCAGTTTCCGCAGAATTTTCTCTACGTAAACTTGGGATGTCTTTTACTAATGCCCTCGTTCGCCGCCAGCGAGAGGATATTACCGTGAAGAAGTTTTTGTAATCCGGTGGCAGTCACGGTTGCTCCACCTTTTCGGGTGTCGTAGGGGTAGGCGAAGGAGTCCATAAAATCTCTGCGAGCTTCGCAAATACCGTCGCCGGATGATTCCCATGGCCCATGGGCATCTTTAAATCCAGCTAGGGCTTCGAACAATGCTAATCTCGGGTACAACCTCATGTCCACACTGTGGAAAGGATCGTTCCAGGTTGACCCCGAAGAGTCAGCTGTTGCATTTTGGGCCATGGTACGCGGTCCTAGCGGAGCTGTAGCCACTGACATGTTTGATGCCGGCTGGGTGGTGCGGCTACAGCCTCGTCAGAGGTAGTGGGGGGTTCGGAGACAGTGTCTCAAAGACGAGACTGACTCAATCTTAGTAATAATCTTGATTGAGAGGGTGCTGCGAGCTCAGATGACACTGTCACACGCGAACGGATGCATCCAGGGCATCCGATACGTCAACGAGATCACGTACATGAGGCAACGTCGTGGCGCACCATGCTGGTGGGAGAATGTCCAGTATTAGATCCAACTCTTCGAGATCTGCAGAAGTCCCCGCGGTGGCGTGAGGGATCGTCAATCAAGTCTGAGATTCTTTTTCGCATAAATCGAATAGTAAACGGCATAAGTTGGTCGACAGCGTAAAGCATTATTCTCCTTTAAGCGTCTGTAAAATCCCGACGATGCTATCACCAGAGCTCCGGCCCGCTCGATCCGGTACAACAAGCACAGGCACGCCAGATATGTCAGGAGCAAGATTGGATTGTCAGTGAATTCATCGGCTTCGATTTTGGATTCAAAGCGGATGGACTGTCCAGAGGTCTGGAACCACATCGGCAAGCGACTCTCCAGCGATGGTACTTTGTTCATCGGTGGCTCGTTTAGCTCACAAAGTCCGTGGATCTCGGTGAACAAAGACGTAATGTTCACTCATGCTTGCGAATACTTCTCAAGGGCATACCCAGGCTGGCCAATCATCTTCGCGCAATCGGCACTGAACTCGTCTATCATGGTCACGCTCGGCTTGTAGTGCCCATTGTCCATCACATTTGCGTCCGGCCCGGGACATTTGAAGATGATGGCATGACAATATGGCACCTTGCGTTTCTTTTTAACCCAGTCAGGTTCATCCAAGCGAATGTCATTACCATTAGGCTCCTCCAAAGTTGGCGTCCTGGCTCTTCCCCATTTTCCTCGATCTCCAGCCTTCCGAAGCATGATCGAACTCATGCCACAGCGTACCCCAAAAGAATTGGTTATCGGTCATCCGCTCGCCCGGAAATGCCACCCATTGAAAACAGCAAATGGCGGACACTCCCGTTTTGACAGGAACTGGGCGGTCTTTGAGAAGGGGATTCCTCATGCTCACTCGTGCCACAATATTCGAAATTCGAGTAGGAGTTTTGCTGCTCCGTGGCGCTCATCAGTTGCTGCATTAGTCACAGAAGGTCGAACGGGCTCCGAAGTGGGCCGAAATGGAGGTCTGTGCGGCCATAGGTCGAGGACTAGGGCACTCAATCCGGGACTGAAGAAAGCCGAGCCTCAGCGATACGATGAGATAGATGAGACCAAAAACGTAGTGAGTACAGTAGATGTGGGCATGATTTCTGTGATATATGCCTGAGGCATAGGTGCAACGTGTCGATGAATGTATGTCGGCACAAGACAAGATACCTGCCCACTGTGGCGACGGGTGTTGAAGTTGATAGGCCGAAGCGTGAGATTGTGGAACAGACAGCGAGGCTGAGTGGCCAGCCCGCTCAGTTCGGCCAGTTTCATGGAACACTCGGCATGCACCGACCAAATGTTCCTCGACCGCGTGGTTTGAGTCGCTTTTTTCACAACTCCACTCAAGGTTGAGATCAAAACTGTGAGTTTTGGGTGTGGACATGGTTCCTTATGTACCAGCATTCAACCCCTGCCCCATCGAAACATGATTCCAATTTTGGTTGAGAAACTCAGAAAATTTGACACTTCAGGAAAGCGATCGGCCAGGTAGGGTTGCTCGACATCGTGGTCCCCGTGTACGGAGTCTTTGTATTCTTGGTATGATGGATTGCCGGTCAAAACTTCGTACACCAAACACCCATAGGCAAAGATATCAGTCTGTTCGGTAACCCTCGGTGTCGATGGTCGGTAAATGAACCATTCATAACAAGAATTTGTGACTTCGCCATCAATGCTGCAACCTTCGAAATCCATTACCGTGGTTCCAGTCTGACATCCAATATCGGCATGAACAATCCTGTTTCCATGCATGGGATCCTCGTCGTCGTCGGTGGCTGTGTGTTGTTTGATGACTTTGTTCTTGACGAATCCGTAGACAATACTTGATTTGCCCGCGCCGAGGTATTCTGGTGATCGAGGGAGTCCTCTTGTCGGTCGGAACAGAATCGAAAGTCCAGCCCGGGGATCTGGACTGGAGCACGGAAGCGTCATGTGTCACCGGCCAGGGTCTGTTGGGTATTTGATTGAGTTGATTGAGTTGATATCGTGGTATCAAAGAGGCTAAGACTAAGAGATCATCAAAGCGTGTTAAAGCGCGGACGCGCCCCAATCGTAGGCGACGTGACAGCTACGAGTCGGGGCCGTGATAATCATAAAAGACTCGCTGCGCCAGATGACGCACAATCACAGTGCATCCGCGCCACAGTCATTTATCAAAAATAAAAAAAAAAAAAAAAAAAAAGGGATCAAGGGCGCGAAGAAAAAATGGATTCATGGCCAAACTTCCACTATCTGAATACAATGGCATACCGGCATGCAGCGTGGTTTCGATACCGTATCGATAAGCCTGATACAATACTACTATGAATTGGCTAGTATTGGTAAAATGATGATACTCTTGGCATATAGATACTAGTGCTGTATCTAGACTAGCGTAGTTAGATTGAGCCTGGTCTATCTACATATAGTCTAGCGTAGAGGCGCTCCCTAATTTCCGCCCCACCTTTACCCGGCCTTCCGTTAGTTTTGGCCCCCTGAACGCTTGTACCAAAGTATCATGATACCTTCGATACTTATAATACGCCCTAATACTAGTATTGTCATAATCCCTTTCGATACCTGAGGTATCCAAAACCACGCTGCCGGCATCGTTCCCGTACAAGGAACGCTGTTACAAGATCATCCTTTCCAGGTTCCGCATCCAGTCCACTATGACACTGGAGCTTGGTATTCCACCTACACGTCCCACACTTCAGTGACAACAACCATGAACGGGGAACGCTCAACATACGTATGTGACTCTCACAATTTCCTGTGTCAATCCAGAATCTCGGCAGTATTCACACCTTCCACCTTTTCTGCAAGGTTCCGGATCGTAACTCGGCTCGTGCGATGCATCCTCGCAGCGCTGTCCTTTTCCGGGGCGAAGTGCGCATCTGCGGACGATGCGTATCTCAAGCCGATGTGGTTTCAATGGCGGTCGCCTCAGACATTCATGCTTCACCATGAATGCTTTGCCGTACTTGCACATGCTGTCGTGATAAGATGGGGGAGCTGGTTGTTCGAGTAGTTGGGCTCTGACGCATGTCCGCTGTCAGAAACGGCCCATATAGATAGGCAGAGGGTAGCGATAGGGTAACAGGTAGGTATAGGTATTCCTTGATAATATATATTGACAATGACTCAAAGTGCGAGGGAAGGAAAGGGGAGTTGACCTCAGGCGGTGAGCATGCGGTGGTCAAATGATAAGGGGTTGTCACGTGTGTCATGTGCTTGGCGCCTCGTGACATGCGCCCTTTCATGTACTTCGAAAAGAGGTCATGAGATCATTTATCCCTTGTCCAAAATGCATCTAGTCTCCCTCGACCTTGACTTTTCCGCCAGTAATGTACAACCCCAGGCCCACTCGAACTGCTCCTTGCCTCGTCCGGCCAGCCACATGATATTCTTCTCCCTCCCTGTGTTTCTCAAAAACAGTCACGCTGGAACCTTTCCAATACACAGTCTGGCCCCTTGCCGATGACTTGTTTAACGATGTTCGTTCCGAGGCTCTCTAGATCAATTGATGGATCGAGTGGTTGAGGTTTGAACTCCTGCTCAAATGTCAGAAAATCTAGATCGTTCTGTACATGACTGAATTACCATAAAGGTCAAATGCTGTCCGCGAAACCGCTTGCAGGGTTCACAGTGGTGAGGCGGATGGAATGTTTGCTGACTCAAAATGGGAGATTGACAAAACTTGTTTGAAACAGTGCAGGCAGGGGAAGGCAACAGATCGGCCATGTGATGTTCTCGGATCCAAGTTTCTCCATGCGCACCTGGTCGGGAATATCGGATACATCGGATTTCCGAACGGAGCAGCACACATTTGGCAGATTGAACCGCGGTCCTTCCCGTTGCCACGGATCACTTGAGCATCTGAAACCACATATGCGAATGAAAAGCTGTATGCAAGCGGCCTAGTAGACCTTGCACCAAAGCCTTGGAGAACCGGGTGTGATGGGTTGAATCCAGGAGAAGGCTCGGTTCTGGTGAACCAGCGCCAAGACGAAACGCCACCTCCTGATTGGTTGAATTCGCCTGTACAATGTGCAGACAAAATACGGCCTCCTGATTGGACGAGACGCGCACGGTGCAAGAACATGTACATAAGGGATGGATGGCGTGTGCGAAAGAGGGAGGCAAGGGAGAAGGGTAAGACAATGGGCACCCCTTACAGTAGAGCATACGATACAAGGAGAGAGAGAGGGAGTGTTCTTCCTGCTTTCTCTCCCTCCTTATATTTGTCCTCCCTATCACTAGGTTAGCCAGCTAGTTACAGAACTCTTTCCAAACACTCACTAAGCTATCTACCATCTAGAACTGGACATTCGCCCATGACACGAGTCCCCTAACGACGTGTCCTCCCAAACCTCATCAAGGAGTCCGTCACGGACAATTGCCAAGGAGCTATACATACCCCTACCCAATTCAGGAGGGAAGTGTAGGCAAGACTGGGTAAGTGTGCAAAGCACAAATAGGCATTGCACACAAGGCTGTCAATGCACAAGGCTGCCAACGCACAAGGCTGTCATTGCACAAGGCTGAGGGCACAAGACTTTGGGTCAAACGTAAGTCTGCTGACTACCCCACCTTGTGCTTACTCCACGTGACAGTATAGAGGGGCAGCTGCAAGAGCCCTCTCACCCAACTCAGGTGGGAATTAGTTCTTCCTCCTTCTCAAAGCGTTGAGTCGTTATATATATAAGAAACGTTATATATCGAAAATACAGATAGGCAATACAATATACCGAAATCCAAGCTGTCGGCACCTACTCCCTGGCGTAGGTCCTGATAACATCGTCGCCAAAATCAAACTCGTAAAGAGGCCGCCGGCGGCTGAGTCCTTTGCCTCACGACTCACGCTACCCCATCGACGAAAATACACAGTCACCCTGCGGCGAAATAGCTCTGGTGACATTTGCCGCTCGTACGCGGCTGCATGTAACGATGCTCATCAAATGTTCTGTAGATCCAGACTGGGCTTGAAAGACTGATTTCTCATGAAAAAGCTGTGTCGCAGTTGAAATGATGGTGGACAATATGCGTGTCTCATGATAACGACCTTTTTCTTCCTAGAGGATCTCGGTGCTTATCTCGCAGCCTGGGACAACGATCTTCCGTAACGGGTCCATGTTCTTCAACTCTTTCCACTCGAATTCCAGTGTGTACGGAACCGTCGGATCTTTCTTCGGGTGCTCCTCAAAGACCAAATTCGCCGTCTTCGGATTCGCGCTGAACCTCGTCAGCGTTACCTCTGCGGCGTAAGAGCCATTTCGATCGGGATGGAAGTTGTTGTCGAGATAAATTCGACTTTTCGCGCCGATCCGGCTGTCCAAGATGGAATACAAATATTGCTTGAGCTTTGTGCATTCTGCTCTCTGGCATTGCTCACAGCCTTTCTGGTGATCTTTGAATCGTTCCGTCTTTTGTACCCAGTTGGCTTTGTCTCGTCCAGAGGTCTCTCGCTGACTCGATCCTTGATTCATTGTCGTGTATGGGTGAGACGCGTGCCGCATGTGTGGATGGATGATAACCGGCCTGGCACGGTCACCTCCGTCAGGTCGATCCTCGGGTGGCGGATTGAAGCAACAGCGGAGCCAAGTAGGCAACACTCCCCAAATGCTGAAACATGTTTGCCACTTCATACTTTGTTGTGATCTTGATGCAGAAAAAATAAAACCGCTGAAGTATACAAGCTGCGGTGAGGGTGTCGAGGGCGGGGGAGGGGGGCGGGTGTCAGGGGGGCCTGTCGTTATGGGCCAATTGCTGCGAACACTCAAAGGGCGCGTCTGCAAGAGAAATCCCGCGGAGTCTGATAGATAGATGGATTGAACGAATAAACCAAGGCTATGTAGCTATGTCCTCTATGTACAGAGATTCGAAGCCTTGAAGAGGCTGCGAGGAGTGAGCGAGGGCACACCGCTACTTAACCGCCCAATTCGGGTGCGCCCACTCCTTGGCTAGCTTACCCTGGTTAGAGGCCATGGCATATCACACCTTTGTCACACCTTGGCAGTGCGCAACGTGACTTGGAAGCCGTCGAAACAACACTAGGGAGCCATGTCCATCACGATGACTGTAATTGCATCAATCCTATAGAAAATGCCAGACTAACTTTGGACGAATCTCCTTCTCTCCGCGCACTGTGAGAATCATGGCCTGGGCTTGGTTTCTTGAGAAACAGCAAAGGTATGCTCTCCTTCTCTTGATGATGTGAAGACCTGGACTGCAGTCCCTGTTGTGGCTCATATCAGAGTGGTGGCCAGTTTTGCTTTCTCGGCGGATAGTTGACCGGTTGAGATACTTTGAGGCGCACATGTCGCTTCAGGAGCTTGAGGAGTGTCTTCTCTGCGTCGATCAGAGCCTTCTGGGGTCCAATTATCGTGTCTGGGAGCAGTGGTGACCCTGCATGGGACAGCGCTACCATGTTCATCACATGAACATGGAAGCCACTCACCATGGTCAGACATTCAAGCCCGTTTGACAGGTCGGACAGGTTAGAAGCGATAGTTGGCAGGGCTATGAAGTACTCTTTCTGCACCTCGCCATACAGCCAACATAGATCTCGGTGGCAAGACGATAAGTCGCGATGCTTGATGAATCGGTCCTGGATGTCGTACAGCCGCGACAATAGACGAAGGAGAGGGGTTAGATGTTCGGCCTTGTATCAAGTCAGCGCTGCTCAAATGAATCATGGGAGACTCGACCTGGAGACTGCGCAGAAGCACAAAGTCTTGTGATGGTGGGCGGCCCTGCCCGATGTAGACAGCGATCCAATGTCCTGTGTCTGTCATGTCGCTTCCACCGTTCTTTTTCCGGCTGTAGTATCTGAAAAACTCATCTCTGGACATTTCGTTCCAGCCATCCAAGATCCCGGGAGGATACCCGTCGTAAATCTCCATTTGATTGTGGAATTCCAGGTTTTTCTTCATTGAGGCGATATGCAAGTCTATGGGCCTTACACGTCCAAGAACATATTTTGGCTTGAGGTCCTCCAAGTGTGTCACTGTTCGAGATGTGCTTGTCAGACATGGGTAAAGCGGAGGAAAAAGATGTAGGAAATCCATACATTCCAGTTGCACCGATGAAGTCGATTGGGCCATTATCGTCTCATGCGTATCCAATGACGAACCAAGATCTTTGCGTTGAGTTGATTGTGAAAGTGAAATGAGGAAAGAAAGTCAAGGCAGCCGCAGGGGAATCAGCAGTAGACGACTTGTCCCAGCCGTATGTTGGCCTAATTGGGAAGGTTGGCCGGATAATTTCCGCAACTAATCCCAAGGCGCGCTAGATAGACTCGCTTACCTAATCAATCAAGTCATTCCACTTACACCGTACGTCGCCGATGTTCTCAAGCATGCGTGCAGTACCAGGCTTCCGCGCTCTTTCCGCTAGGGCCTTGCCAAAAATACATCGCGACAAAGCGGAGCCATTGAAAAGTTGTCAGGCTGGGAACGGGAATTCTGTCCCACGCTGGCTCGAACTCGCTTCCAAGCCTGCGTGACTCCACAGTCACTCATAGTGCAACAGCGAGGTAGCACTCACACCTCGGCGAGCGAAAGTTGTCGAGCGGCGCTCCTACGCCATGTAGCAGCACCCGGCAGTCTCACCAAGAGGCCCCAATGGTACTCGCGAGGTGCAGTGTCGGGGCGGTCGGGGACTGCTGCCCTCAGGCGCTAGATGAATCTAGATCGGAGTCAAGCAATGTTCATCGAACATTTGAGATTCCCCGCCAGGAAACCCTACTTTCCTTATCTCTATTTACCCAGAGTCTCCAAACGGGAAAACGCTCCGCTTTAGGTCAGTGGGAGATTGAATCTCTTGTGCAGCAGCCCCATGACTGAACCCCCCGTGTAGAGCAGCTTTGGAATGGCCTCTATTATGACGCGCCGAAGATCCCTTGGCTTTTCGCGTGAATGTATTCCCCCTCCCAGACACACAACGACAAACACGACGATAACGAGATAGAAGATGATGGACCAAAGTGATAGTGCCTGGGTAATTGATATCAACAAGAACGATGAAAAGCACGAGGCGGCCCATCGGGCGGTTTCGTAATGGCACAACGACATAATTGCTCCGAGATGTTGCGGCGGTCTTGGAGCGCAGCTAAGATACCCAGCGAGGACAGCTCGGTGTGTGGAAACTCCGTCACTCGCTGCAGCACTGGTTCTCGTCCAAAATGCGGCCACTACTTTGTGATCTTCCCGGTCTCGGCTGACATATGCTGCTGCATCTTCGCCGATTTTCTCATCAGTCTCCACATGTGCGAACATGCCGGGGGAGGAAGGGTACCAAATTTGACTGACAACGGGTTTCCAGACGAGATCATCGCTACGCACCCCCCACTCCTTCTCCAGGTAGGCTGCAAGTTCTCGACTTTCAACGTTGGCTGGCAGGGCTTGAAGTTGGCACTGTTGCGGATGTCGCAGCGCTTGCTTTCAGAAGAGGTATGGGCCACCCAAGCCGCGGTGGTTGTAAACCTGTTCAAGCACGAGGGGCAAGTGACTTGACCGCCAATGTGCGCCCGTGGACAGAAGATGTGCTTTGCCCATCCATATGGACAACGACCATCATCACCATGAACACAGCCGGACGATGTCGCACTGGCCTGCCTGCCTGCCTCTCGCCCCCTTGCGGCTACTCTATGCAGGGGTTCAACTCCCTCCTTACAGAAGTCAAGATCTCTGTCTCCCCGGCATCTCTCTTGGCTGGTCTAGACGGAGCCGCATACTCCCACCGGCGGTCACCCACTCCTCCTACACAAGCCAATGTGTCGAAGCGAGACAAGCGCAGGAGTCAGCATGTCGCGCAGCAGCAAAGAACTACAGCCAATTTCATGGAGTATGGTACTCGGACAAGGAGACATGTGGTGATTGCTTCGGAGTCGGGACAAGGGCCCGAGAGTAGGCCGCCTTGCGACAGATAGACGGATAGGTACAAGTTCCACGACTAGGAAACATTGCTCGCTTGAAAGTCCAGCATTACACAGTCCGGCAGGGCCCTCAACAGCGTCCGTACCGACCCAGAACTTCTCCGGCATAATGACACTACCGCTCTGGCCGCGCAGGACCTGCCGGACCAACCGGAGCAGCAACGTCGACGGGCTCGAGGACCTGTTGGCGCGAACCGTGGGCGAGGACCAAGACAATGACTAAAGAGTCTCTTGCTGCTGACACAAACTTTGCGTCATCAGTCAAGATAACACCGACCAGCGTGCTCGTTCCCACCCCCAGTTCGGTATATCAAATTTTGACCCAGCTATACCGAGGCAACCCCTGGATCTTTGATTTCTAGCGAGCAAGTTTCAAATCAAATAATTGCCAACAGCGTCATCACCTTCCCCCAGGTCGAAACGGGGGGAGCATGGGCAGACTTCCCCCGGATCTTGTCCGATCTGCAGTAACGGTGTGTAATTCGGGAGGGTTGGACGACCTTGTCCCAGCCGTATGTTACCATAATCCTCGGGGATCAGGAAGGTTGGCCGAATAATTATCTTCCACGTCGGTATATAAGAGCTCTAAAGTTGTTTCCGTCGAGTAAAATTGCGGACGTCGCTACCGTCGTGTCATCTATACCTTGTCTGTCTTCCATTACAAAGTCCCCAATCCACAGAATCCACTAAATCTCACTACACCAAAATCTCAAACCTCAATTTCGGTCATGCGCTACCTCCCAAAGCCCTCCCAGCCCGACGAGGATACTTTCGACGGGACGGAACCAAATTCAGAAGGCGGCACTACATTCAAACTAGTGCCCGGCACCTCTGAACACTCGCCACCACTCTAGCGATTGTTGCCACACCTACCACATCTGCCATTCTCTCCCGCAAAACTACCTGCGGCATTGACGGAGGATGAGGCCAAAGAGTTCCCTACCTCTCACACCAAAAGACCCATCCTTTCTACAGGGTTTTCATCGCAGGAAAGACAGGATAGAAGCTTCGAGCTCGCTCCAAAATTCCAATAGACAGTCCCAATCTTACGCTGGCGCCGCCATCTCGAATGCAGGAATGTGGTTGCTCTGGGATCAGCCAACACGACTCTACACATATACTCTGGCACTCTGCGCGCAAACAACCGACCAGATAGCTGTACAGGTCAACAGCGGGGAAGAAATACCAGGAACTGTGGCCGCCGTTCGACTAGCGGCGAGACGCGACGAGGACAGACAGGCCCGTGGCGGAGATCATCCCCATCACGGTCACCTACCAGCTTTGGCGAGAAAATTTGGGGAGGCAAATAGTCGTAAACTTCAGAGAGACATACGAAGCTTCTTCAAGGGGAACGAGGGATATAATATAGGCATTACATTTTGTCCACCATCGGCATATTGGGCTGCCGCGTCATTTGGTGTATACGTGAAGGAGAGCGTTACAGCAAAGCGCTCAAGTTCATGTGAGTGCTTTGCAACACCATTGTGGTAGGGATTTGAGAGGAGGCGGGCAGAAGGGGCGTTACATTACCGTATAGTATAGAGAGCTTCAATTATACCTAGAGACGAAAATTTCCAAGCCGTAAGCTTCATTTTCAAAGGATTTGCTCCCATTTTGTCAGGCAGTGTCAAGTTAAGACGGTGCTTCACCGATCTCGGAGAGTGCTTGGAGGATTTGTCTACGTCCCTTCGCAATGTGAGAGAGCTTTTCTTTCACCAGAACATCTGAACTCGCCTTGTCGCAGCAGGAATCGGAAACCAATTTACGAGGGCATATCCTCTTTTCCTCAGATCGGGTGACAGTTGACCATATCCTTCACCGTTTTGTTCGCGCCCAAATGAAATTCTCCTGATCTCAACCACTCTATAAGTCAAGCGTTCCTTTCATAGCCCTGTCGATGAAGGCCGACTCTCAGCTACTGCCTACAGACCGAAGGTATCAAGGGAAAGAGAATGGTCTTGAGCCCCGGTCCAGATCTCTCAGCACCATACTGCAACAATTTGACACCTGAGACTCCGCTGACATCATGACGATGAAACTGCACGAAAAGTTATCCCGGCGAGCATCGAGCCCATCGAACTTCCTCAGATGGGTCACAACGCCATACGACTCGGCCGCTTCGAACAGATGTTGGGGCTCCTGGGGCGACCAAAAGCAGTCACGAAGCTAAAGTCGATGCCAAAGACGATGTCACGAACACGGCCTCTCAACAAATGATGCGCCCCCGACCTCTCATTCGCTATTCAGACTCTACTCCGGCGGCCTGGCAACGTGGGAAGGATGTGATAGCGAACGATCATAACGCCCGCTCCGAGTCGAGGACGGGGGCGCGGGGATGTTGAAGGCGTATCCATGATAAATGTGGAAAGGGATGCAAGACTTGGAGATCCCGTGTCGGGGGACAAGACAAGGTCGAGCCGAGTTGATTTGGCTTTGTTCTCGACCACCCAGGAAGGATTCTCGCCACGCCAGGGGAGATGCAAGGTAGATACAACCCCACTGAATTGATGCTCCGTAGCTCATCCATGTTTTTTGACGTCTTCCAGGGAATCTTGCCGTCGGAGGAACCGAGGACCACTTCATGTAGACTGATATGAGGCGAGATTCGGACGCAATTGTCTCTTCGATATGGGTGCCTACAAGAGGATTCTCTTGAAGAAGTGAGAGGTACGGTCAACGTGGACCGAAAGACTCGGGGCTGAAATCACCATTTGGGGGACATTTCTGGTCATTCCCCATTTGTAGTGCGATTGGCTCATGGTGGTGCTTTTGGAGTTGTCGCTGTCGCTTGCCAGGACTTGCAAGAAAAATCTCCAAATTGCGAATTGAAAGCACTGATCCATGACGTGGACGACTGTGAAACCAACAGCAGCCGTGTGATGAAGGCTGATAGAACGCCCGTGATCAACTTGACTCGTCCGAAGGCTTTACAGCGCAAGTGCCGTACTTGCGTAGCCTGTGGGCGTTAGTATGGGCGCACGGCCTGCATAGTGAGTGGACTTACCTCCACAAAGCCTTCGATGGCGTGTGGCGGAGCCCATGGACGTGTCGCAGCCCGGATCTGTCTGGCCGCAAGTGCAAACTGGATCAAGCGGTGGCCGGCAAAAAGGTAAAAAGGGGGGTTCCAGGCGTTCGACCCTGATGCAACATCGAAGGCCCGGATGCTGAGACTGACATTCACACACTGGAAGACAATTGAAGTGATGAGGCAGTCAGCCATGGCGACATGTCTCTTAGCGATGCAACCCGGCGAGCAGATGCAGGTCTGGGAACACGGGTGGCCATACAAAAACAGGCATGGGATGATGCAAGACTACAAGATTGAACATTCCCTGCTTTCGTGCAAGAACATAACTTGGTCACTTTTGCAAGGGCACGGCGACCTGGGGATAGGGGGGAAGGGGCCCCTGGGGTTTGGCACCGCTTGCGGCTTAGGGTTGCCCACCGAAATGCTTGGCAGGCACAGACTAGCGATAGTACTGACCCTAACCGCCACCAGTCCCCCCTATGGCTCGCTGCAAAAATCTAAGTTGGGAGGAGAAAAGGGCCGGAACGCCCCCTGAACTTACGTCAAAGGTGATCCGGAATGCGAACTCTCCTGTCAGGCCGGGTTGGGGCGCAGGCCGCTGCCTCGCTTCCTGCTTGGCTCCATGCACCTGGTCCTCACAGTGGCCAACCGGAACACGACAAAGTTGCTCGCCGCCGCGCTAGTCATTCGGAGTCTTTGACGGCCAGCTACGGACATGCGGACTAAGTCGTGTGGAATGGCGTGACAATAGTGTGCCTTTATCAAGGACAGTGATTAAATTTGAGGATGAATTCGTTAGCGAGGCGATACAATAGACACTGGGCCAGTCATGCATGAAACGCTGGTTCACAAGCAACCAAGTCTAGCTTCTGAGAACCAGCGTTTGGCGTTGAAGCCAGATCAATCGTATCACTCATGTGGCAGCTTAGGGCACTCCCTTGGATCCTCGCAACCTCCACTGGTACAACCTGTACAACCCATAAAACTCCTCCAGCCGATCAAGGATCCTGTAGGACCTGACCATTTCGGATGGCCGCGCCTCCCCTGGCCACCGAGACTACGCATTTCATCGGTCTAGGCATCCCCAATCGCCGATCACAACACGCCACAAGATTTTTTAGATCGATGGACCTTCGTAACTTCCGTGCCACCGACGTAAACTGCGAAGATTCGCCGCTTTGCTCGTCAGCGGTTGACCCTCATTTTGGCTATGTGAGGAAGCAGTGCTCTTCCGCACTCGTCCACCCATACTACAGATAAGACACCCTGCCTCGAAGAATTCGACACGACACGACTCGATTCTCCAGTGTCTTCCAAAACTCACTTCCGCTACAGAGCAGGAGAATCACACCATGGACTTTGAGCCTTTGGAAAACTGGTACCCTCAATCCAGTCCTTCCTTCGCCCACTATGATGCCGCTCAGAGCTCCATCAACTTCGAGTCCTCGGAAGACTGGTACCCTCAACTCGGTACTTCTCTCGCCCGCTATGACGCCGCACAGAGCTCCGTCGACGACATATCTACCTCCTTCCGAACTCCTACATCCCATGAGACTGAGATGGCAGCGACTCAAGAACACAAGGTGCGTGAGAAATTCATGGTGAGCCCTGCTGCATACAACAATCATGATCGCAGCAATGACGAACCGGTTCGATGTGACGACGAGGATGAAGCTAGCAATCACCATGACACGTCTACCTCCACGCCGTCGCAAGAGACCGATACACCCCTCGAAAAGCTCCCGCCCTACAACGAAGATGGCCAGATATACTGCGACCACGTCAGCTGCTTGGGAAAAAACCAGACATTTCCCCACCCCTATTACTGGAGAAGACATATGCTCGGACACGAGCGAGCAAACACGCACTGGCTAGGGCACCACAAGAAGCGTCCGAAAACACACTTCTGCCCATTTCCCGAGTGCAAGGTCAACAACAGGTACGAATTCGCCTCGGCGCGGAGTCTGAGGGGTCACCTGCTGAAGCACTACCCTGTTTGTAATCAATGTCTCCAAAGGGGATTGAAATGCGACAAAGTACGACCTGAATGCGGGCATTGTCGTAAGGAAAACTCGCCGTGTGCTTTCGAGATGCCTTTTCCCCTACCGCCGCGCAAGAACTGTGACCAATGTCGACGAAGAAGAATTCATTGCGGAGAACAACGACCTGTATGCGGGGGATGTCGAAAAAACAACTTGCCGTGTACTTTCGACGATCCTCTTCTCACGCAAAAGACACCAGAAAACTGCGGTATGGAGCAGGAGAAGCCCTTGGAGAGACAGATGAACCACACTCTCCGGATAGAAAACCCTTCCTCCCGGAGCCCATGTCGCTCCGACGGAGACACCAATTCAGAGTCCCAGCCAACAACACTAGAGCGATTTTCAAACCACCTGCCATCTGACCATACCGCCAAGGCACAGCTCCATAGTGGCCTCCTCTGTCCGGACGCGAACAGCGCGCCCTGGGAGGCGGCCAGCCACGAAGCGCCATGGACGCACGACATCCTGGGACAAGTGGGAGTCCTGCACGGCGATTCCACAAGCGACGTGTTCGAGGAAGTGCAGCAGTCCAACTTCTCCGCCCTTTTCAACCTTGACCAGGAACCTCCGAAGCAAAATCCTCTTCCCCCGTCAAATTTCAGTGGAAACACCCCACTGGTCTCAGATGTGTCGCATCATCAGAGTCATCATTACTCCTCTTGTGACACAATAGCCCGATCCTCGACGCAGAATATGGGCCCATCCATCTGCTTCTCATTCGACCCCGGTGATGACTGGAGGAAGATTTCCCATTGGCGTGACAGAGCGCTAACTCGGGACCGGGTTTGGAAGGTACGCTGACCCCTCTGGTGCTGGCTGTGAGTGGAAGGCATATGGCATATACTGACCAGGAGGGCAGCGACGGAAGCGCCTGAAGCTCAAGAGAGAAGCCATCGAGCGCGAACGCCTGAAGCTCATGAGACAAACCATCGACCCCGAACGCCGCGTCGAATCTTCCTCTGATCCCGAACAGCAACAAAGGGCGCTGGCCACCTTAGCGGCTCCAGAGTCTCCGGAGAAGCCACCTCCGATTGAAGCTCCGCAGAACCCGGCAGGGATCTTGCCTTTCGATGATTGTTTCTCGCCGTTTGATACGCCGGAAGCCTACAGCCTCCCTTGGGGAGTCCATTCCCAGCCAGCGTTCGGCTTTTCGACGCACCCTGCCACCGCCGCCAATCTGGAGTATGAGCTACTACTACAGAACACGTACGCTGGTATACCCAGTTACGACTCAAGTAGCCTGTATCAGTGGGATCAGCTCACCCAGCCTACATGGCCTCCTGACCATGTATACACGTACGCTGGTATACCCAGTTACGACTCAAGTAACCTGTATCAGTGGGATCAGCTCGCCCAGGCTACATGGACTCCTGACCACGTCTACGTTTACAATATGCAGGATTATCCCATCGCGAATGGGCCGCGGGATGGCCTTCCTCAACAGCCCCTTGAGCAAATTTGCCCATGGGAGGGACGGTGAAATCTATCCACCGGCGACTCCATCCATCTCAATTTCTTGAGATCAATCAATCTGGCGGCATGACGATGTTGGTGTATTCCATGGACATAGACCTCTACATGTCTCATACACTTGTACATGGTAGTACCAATCAAACAAGACAGATAGCTAACATTGTACAAGTGCACAACATCCCTGCAATGCCCGCAGCCCATCTACTGACTGTCGGAGCGCTGAGTAGTGACCATGGTACAACGCTACTTGCTTCGTCGAGCTGGAGCTGCCCCGTAGGTTGACAAGACGTCGCCCTATGCAGCTCCAAGCTGCTCTTCGTAGAGCTTCTCCAACGTTACTTGAGGCGCTTCTTCCACAGTTCGCAGTGGTTGTTCGCGCAGTTTCTCGTTGCCTTTGCGTGGTCCCCTCAGTTTCTCGATGCATGGCTAGATGTAGGTAGACATTCATACCCATCGGCCATGAAAATGCTGTAGGATAGATTTCGCCTTTCGAAATCTCGTGGTTTCTCACAACCCCAGGTTGAGAGCATCTATCACCGTCCAATACTTCGCCGCGAGCCTGTTGCAGGTGCCCCGGCCTCAAGGGCTGACTGTCGATCCTGATCACATTGTGCCTGACTCGTTGGGAGGTATAGTAGTCTCTCCAATCCTGCAAATTAACGGGCAACAAGCCACAATAATGGTAGTTAATGACGAACTCAAATCCCATTGTAGGATATTCTGGCGTACCCGAATCCTCCATGCACTCAGTTTCCCCTGGGAAGGTTGTTCTCTCTCCTGGCGCCGCTAGTCGCCCGGCACCTAACTTCTTTCACCCGCATCCAGCGCAGTCTCGCTTTCTCAACCTTCTGCATCTGTCTCACATTCAACAGATTGGAGATAGGTCTGAAAGAGCTGCCATCATGGCATATCTCGATAACAAATATGAGCATTCCATCCACGGGGACAACTTGTTTGTTGAACAACAGCCCCAACCAAAGGGGGGCCTTTCCCAGAATCCTTTCCCTCAACTCATTCAACTAGTTACCTTGCTGACAAGGCGATTTAGACCACTCCCACAACCTGCGATGAAGAGCCCACTGTAATGCGATCTCGAAACCCCCCATCCCCAGAGGCGCTACCTGGCCGCCCAATGCCACCTGAAAAACCAGTCGGGGCAGAGAAAGCACCGCGCCACCACCCCCCACCCATTCATGGACAAAAAAGGCAGAGTGATGAAGCCCGAGGCTCGACACTAGAGACTCCAAAAGACCACATTCCGGGGATGATGTGACAACAAACGTACCATTACCAGCCGAGCCAAAGAAACAGACTGCAAGTTCCGTACATGACCGCCAATAGGCCCGACCAACCCAATTTCCCAACCCATCAAGTTGGTACCCAACAGGTGAAAGCCAGACAGAGTGTATCGGGAACCTCTGCCGGGGAGGAAAAAGGAGCAATTGTCACGGGGCTCGTGCTGCCGATGCGAGGAGAGTGGGAAGATCTTCATTTGGCCAAAGTGCAGCTGCATTTTGCTTGCACCAACTTTGCCCACTTTTGTCAGAACTGGCAGCAGAGCACGGCTTTTGACGGAGATGAAGGTGACGAAAGACTCGCGATGCCTCACAAGGTACAAACAAGAGCAGTCCGGAGACGAGTGCAGACTGATCTCGACTTCAGTCGAGGATCTTGTCATTCAGGTGCGGAAGAAGGTGGATCTTGGCTTCCATGCGGCCTCCGGGCCTCGTACCTTGAGGTCTTGTGGAATGTGATTCCAGCGTCGTTTGTTCAGCTTTGACCCAATGTACGTAGATGCGCGGTCAACACACTTCCCACCACCGCTGACAGTACCCGACTCTTGGATGGCTTGCACCTAGTGATGTTGACGAGGCAGTATGACATGTGAAGCTGTCGCCCGAAGCTCGACTTGGAGCGTTGCCTGGACAGAGACTACCCAGGAGCGGTTGTCGAAACGCCAGATCACTAGTTGGTAGGTCATGCTGATATTTTGGGCGAGAAGTCATTGATCGACATCAGTTCGCTCGTTCCGCCCAGGAGAGACGACAAGGATAGCATGGCGTGTGCACTGTGGGAGGCCTGCACCCGTGTGCATCCTCGTTGCGACTCGTAGCATAATGCTCCTCGAATATGCACCGATCCAAACAGGGCACAGCAAGGCATAGTGCGACATCAAAAGTCGATACGACCCTAAGCTAGATAGACTTCACGCAAAGTCTGAGTATGCCAGCGGCTCGCTTCTGCCAAATCTATCATGAACAGGTGTTTCCGGACCTCTCCTTGTCGTTGCGTGGTCAAGTTGCGCATCTGGTCTCCGTTGCAGGGTCATAGTCGATGTCAAAGTGGTGTAGAATGAAAGAGGATTGAAACAGACACAACTGCCTTACACTGCATTTGCCGGTGCGCTGTTTATGTAACTCGTATATCGAATAAGTCCTGCCTCCCTAGCCAGCACAGGCCGATTCGATGCGGGTGATGACCCTACCAGCAGCCCGATCCGCCCCGAGTTCAGTAGCGGCATATCAGACCCGTTATCTAACTAGAGGGTAAATGTATATACTATAGGATTAATAATGATAGATAACTAGCCTATAGATAGAGATATTAACGCTTAAAGAAGGCTTTAAGGTTAATAGGTATAACCCCTCTTACTATATATATATATAGTAAGCTAGCTACTTAACTAGCGGCCTAACTCCTTAATTAATATTACGTAGAGTATCTAATATTACGTAGATATTCGTGATAGTTACTCTTCTTCCTTAGGTAGTTCACCCTCGAACTAATAAGATAGTTAAGTACTTAGTAGCCTTAAGTAGTCTCGTTAATTTAATACTAATCTTAATATAGAAGTATCCGTATTTAGGTAATAATAGTACGTTATATTATTATTATATTAAATAAATGCCTTTTATTTAATTTAATTATACTCTTAATATTTCGTTCTTATACATTAATTACTTAATATATTTACTTTATTACTATTTAGCTTATTTATTTCCTTTTTCTATTTATAGTATAATTATATTATACTTAATAAATAGATAGTTTCTAGTCCTATATATATCTACGTCTTAAACCTCTATTAAGACCTTCCTTTCCTCTCTCTCCTTTCTCTTTACTATTACTTTATACGTAATACTTATCTACTTAATTCGTTCTTAAATTAAATAATTCTCTTAACTTAATCTTAATTATAATAGCTCCTCGTTAGTCTCTCTCTAAATCTCCTATCTCTTTTAAGGGTATACGCGCTTAGCGCGAGTTTTTATAGTATTAACGTTATATCTAGACTCTATAAGTATACTCCTATACCGCTTATAGCGTACTTTAAGTATATTCTATTATTAACTTCTATATAGAGCTAACTCTAAGAACGACTCTACCGACGTCGTTAATAATAAGTATAAGGTACCTGCTAATATTAGTAAATATACCCGTTATATTAAAGGTAACTACCCTTATATCCCGGTCCCCTTATTAGAAACGGCCTTTATATAACCTAGGGCGTGAGGCGCCTAGGGGTAGGTCTACTAGGGCGGTAGCCTAGCGATATAAGACTAGGTTACGTACCGTATATAACTACTAGAAGAGGAAGGAGACGATATAGCGATATATTAGTATAGTCTTAGTTAATATATTAATATACTATCTTTAGTTACCTATTTAGAGTATATCTTATAGGTATATAACTACGCTTATTCCCCTTTTATAGTTATACTCTCTCGTAGCTAACTTATAATATCTACTTTATTATACTATTCTAAAGTTACTTAACTACTTATATCTTACGTACTCTTAACCTAGCTTATATAATAAAAAGGAACTATAACTAAAGAAGCCTAACTACGTTAGGCTACGTAGGAAGTAGCTCTAATACCCCTCTTATTTTTAGTCTACTATCGATAAGGTATATACTACTATTATTCCTATTAAGGAAGGTAAGGTCCCTACTCTCTCTAGTATATTCTCCCTATCTTTTCTAGTTACTTACTTACTTAGACTCTACTAATCCCTTACGTAGCTAACTAGATCTATAATAAGACTACTAAACTTAATAAGGCCTTTACTAATTATAAAAAGGAGGTAAATAAGGTCTTTAAGAGCTTTAGTATCTTAACTCCCTCTAAGTCTAGCGCTACTATAGATAGTAGTATTAGTATAGATATTACTAACCTTACTAGTTAATAGATTATTAAAGCTTTATATACCTTAACTACTATATTAACTTAAGCTATAAGTATACTTCTAACCTACTCTTCTTAAGTCTCTTTTAGTCTAAGCTAATAGTATACTTCTTATAATATAATATCGTACTTCTCCGCTAGTTAGATCTTAATAACTATTAAACTAGTAAGTACTAGAAAGATCTTCTAATAGAAGATAGTAACGACGATAGCGATAGTAATAGCGATAGGGAGCTAGACGGCGCTAGTAATAATAATAATAATAATAATAATAATAATAATAATAATAATAATAATAGCGAGAGTAATATCGACGATATAGATATCTTTAACTAATTAATAGATATAAGTTCTATTCTCTTATCTATTTCCTACTTTTTTCGCGCCTTATATACCTCTTTCTACTACTAGTAGTAGAGTTTTAGCGGACTTCTTACCTTAATACGAGAGGAATTAAATAAATTATTTCTATTATTCTCCTTTCTTATCTATTTATTTAATCTATTTTAATAATTTTAAAGATAGATTCTCTATAAGTTAGTATAAGTTATCCTTAGAACTATACTCTTTCTACTTAAGTAAATACTACTTTTCTCTACCTTTTATTATATAAGAATCTAGTATCTCTTCTACTTTATAAAATTAGTTACTATCGATATCCTCTAACTCTAGTAGTATCTAATTAAGTCGGATATAAAACGGTTTAATAAGTAAGACGTAAAATATTAGATATAAACGCTAATATTTTATAGGAAATATTAATTAATAAGTATTCCTTTTAACCTTTATAAGGATATAAAAAGACTTTAAGAACTTATTA